ACCATTTCCCAGAAAAAAACCCATTTCCCAAAAAAAAACCATTTCCCAGAAAAAAAAAACATTTCCCAGAAAAAAACATTTCCCAGAAAAAAAAACATTTCCCAGAAAAAACCATTTCCCAGAAAAAACCATTTCCCAAAAAAAAAACATTTTCCAGAAAAAACCATTTCCCAAAAAAAACATTTCCCAGAAAAAACCATTTCCCAGAAAAAAAACCATTTCCCAGAAAAAAACATTTCCAAGAAAAAAAAACCATTTCCCAAAAAAAACCATTTCCCAGAAAAAACCATTTCCAAGAAAAAACCATTTCCAAGAAAAAACCATTTCCCAGATAAAACCATTTCCTAGAAAAAAACATTTCCCAGAAAAACCCATTTCCCAGAAAAAACCATTTCCCAGAAAAACCCATTTTCCCAGAAAAAACTATTTCTCAGAAAAAAAACCATTTCCCAAAAAAACCCATTTTCCAGAAAAAATCATTTCCCAGAAAAAAACATTTTCCACAAATAACCATTTCCCAGAAAAAAACATTTTCCAGAAAAAACCATTTCCCAGAAAAAACCATTTCCTAGAAAAAACCATTTCCCAAGAAAAGAACCATTTTCCAGAAAAAAAAAAAAAAACATTTTCCAGAAAAAACATTTCCCAGAAAAAACCATTTCCCAGATCTGAGGAGGCTGCTGGAGCCATGGTGGAATCAATGCATCCATGGGACACGAGATAGGCACATTTGACATAATTATGCCCATACTGCTTGCAATTAAAATATTGAATATTATTTCAAGTGACCACTGCCTCCCCGACACCCTTGCTTACCGAAGCCACAATTGGCTGTTCCAGTGTGACCATTTGGGCGATTTGAAGCTCAGGGTCCTGTGGAAGAGCTCTGAGGATCTTCTTGGTGGCTCAGTTGAGGTTACTCATGACCATTTTTTGGAGCTGCTCGCCCCTGGCTTCCACGTTGTCGTTCTGTCTTTTAATGGCTTCTCAGAGAAGGTCCATGGACTTGAGGAAGGGCTCATCCACTCCCTGGTGGGTGGTTGAGCAGCTTTGCAAGACAGTAGCATCGTCTGGGATAGTTAAAAGTGCAGTTTTAGCAGCTAGTTTAATTTCATTAATCACATCAATTACTAAAATTAATTTCATTTATTTCATCAGGCAAAATGGCCTGATCTTCAGGCCTGATAAAATCTCCTTCACCCACAAATGCATCCATAGCACCATCACCTAATCCTTGTATTTGATGTGTCTCAATCAGGGCCTGCCTTTAACAGTTTTTTCCAATTGGCTTCGCAGAAAAGAAACTCAGTGGGGATCAACAGGGCTGTCATAATGTACTTTAAGTCATGGGCTACTGGAATATGTGCAGTAATTGTCAGTTCTAGTAAATTTTTAAAATAGGGTGAACCTCTCCCACAGTCTTTCACTGCTTTCCACACCTCTTTGATCTCTGCGCATGGAATTTGCTCCCACCTCGCGTTGCCATTCGGATTAAGAATGACTGGAGCAGCCACCCGCCCCAGGCCCTCTGCCAGCTCAAGATTCCCTTCCCTGATTGCTCCTCCCGGATCTTTGCCCAGCTGCTCCCTGGCCTGGTGTTGTGGCCGGGGGTGCAGCCAAATCTCCTCCCCTGAGGTGGTGACCGGACACGCTAAACCGCAGGGTTTCTTTCCGGCAAGCCAAGATGGCGGACTTCCGGTTTAAACCACGCCCACTTCCGGTCTTGTTGCCATGGGAACCGGAAGGTTCAAACGGGGGCGCGGCTTTAAACTGACGTCACGCACCTGGGCGGGGCCTTCCTGGGGAGCACCGCCCACAGGAAGACCCAGCCCGGAAAGGGGCGGGCCCGACGCAGGGGGAGTGGCCGGAGGAGGGAAATGGCGGCGCCCTGCGCTGCCACGAGGCCGCCGCCATCTTGTGCCGCCGCCATTTTGTAAACAAGAACCCCCGAACTACAAACAGAGATTTTTACGATGGGAACCCCCAAACTACAAACAGAGATTTCTAGGATGGGGGTTAAGGGTAAATTCCCAGGCGGGGAGAGGCGCTGGTGGATGCAGGAGACGGCAGCGGGACAGGGCGTGTGTCCCGCATCCTCCACGGGGGCAGAGGGTTTAAAAAAGCGGGGGGGAGACACGGAGGAGGAGGACCGGGATCCTGGGCTTTTTCTATTTTTTTATCAACTTAAAAATCGAATCAAACAAAGCAGTGAATTTTCCTAAAATTCCCCTTAACTTGCTCTAAAGAAATGCATTTCCCCACTTTTTCCCATAACGAAACGGACAAAACATCTTCCCGAGAAATCTCGGGAAAACCCTCGAACACAAACCGAACGAACACCTTAACATCCCTTTTTAAAAACAAATTTTTTTTTTCCCGAAACAAGACGACTTCGAATTTGGAGATAAAACTCCCTCTGAGCGCGGGATAGGCGACATCCCATCGCTAAAAAACACACTGACGAGGCAAATAAATTAAAATAAAAGCAGATTCGTTCGGGTGGGGGGGTGCGTGCTGCGATGAGCACTGAATTCTGCTTACCGAACTTCTCAGAAAGTCCCGGACGGACGGACAGACGGACAGACAGACAGACGCCTCACAGCGGCTTGGCTGCGTTCCTGCTGCTCCTTCTCAGCTTCGCAGCGGCTCCCCCGGGGCCGGGTTTGTCCCGGAGCCAAAAGAACTCGGAGCAGGGCAAAGAAACCGAGCCCCGAAAGCGGGCGGGACCCGGGTTTAAGAAGGGGAACGGAGGGGCGGGCACAGCGGGGCTCTCCGACCATTGGGACGGGGGAACCGGGGTGCGGGGGAGGTGTTTTTGTGGGGTGCTCCAATGGGGAAGTTTAGAGCAGAGAACTTTCTGGAACAGATGTTGTAGTTTACCACCTCCCCCCCCCTCTCCCATGGGATCTCAGCTCCGTAATTTTTGTCCCTTTCCCACATAGGGAGGTACTGGGGGAAACTGGGAGCACTGGGAGTTACTGGGAGATACTGGGAGTTACTGGGAGCTCTGTGGGGAGGGGACACCCCTGTCCCCCCACCCATGGGGACACCGTGACCCTGCTGTGACTCTGTCCCCTCCGTGTCCCCTCCGTGTCCCCTCAGCGTTCGTGTGTCCCGTGTGCCACCAGCAGTGTCCCCTTGGTTGATATCATGGAGAACCTGTTCCTGCAGCCCAGCCCCAGCGGGCAGATACAGATTAATTAACACTAATTAATGCTAATTAACCCTAATTGGGGCCAAACGGATGTGTCCCCCCGGGCGTGTCCCTTGTCCCCAGAGCTGCACCAGCTGCGAGGACAACGCCAGGGCCACCAGCTTCTGTCTGGAGTGCTCGGAGCCGCTGTGCGCCACCTGCGTGGGGGCTCACCTGAGGGTCAGGTACACCCGGGAGCACCGCGTGCAGCCCCTGGGTGAGTGAGGTCACCTCATTGAGGGTGATGATCTGATGGGACCCAGGGAATGTTCTGGAACTGAGCTGGGCACTGGGATTGGACAGATGGACCATGAGAGGCCATGGAGATGATTGGATGGATGGACATTGAGGGTGATGATGTCATTGACCTGGTGAGACCCCTGGAATGTTCTAGAACAGGGATTGGACAGGTGGACCATGAATGGCCATGGAGATGATTGGATGGATGGACCATGAGGGTGATGATGTCATTGATCTGGTGGGACCCCTGGAATGTTCTGGAACTGAGTTGGGCATCGGGATTGGATGGATGGACCATGAATGGCCATGGAGATGCTCGGAGGGCTGGATGGAGTTGAGGTGTCGCACCTGGAGAAGGATCCAGGGACACCTGAGAGTGACCCAGGAGCTGGGGATGGACCTGGGACTGGGCTCCCTCCTGTCCCCCCGCTGGTGACAATGACCCCAGGGGGTTTAGGGACACTTTTGGTGCTGTTTTTGCCGTTTTTTACATTAAAATTGATGTCACCTGTGGTGGCACCTGTGCTGTGTCACCTGCTCAGCTCTGTCCCAGTATCTCCCAGTGATCCCAGTAACTCCCAGTAACTCCCAGGAACATCCAGTAACCCCCAGTGCTCCCAGTATCTCCCAGTGACCCCCAGTAACCTCCAGTGATCCCAGTAATTTCCAGTAACTCCCAGTAATCCCCATTAATCTCCAGTACCTCCCAGTGCTCCCAGTAATTTCCATTAATCCCCAGTAACCCCCAGTGATCCCAGTAACTCTTAATGATCCCCAGTAACTCCCAGTAGTCCCAGTGATCCCAGTAATTCCCAGTTCTCCCAGTAATTTCCAGTAAGTCCCAGTAATTCCCTGTGATCCCAGTATCTCCCAGTGCTCCCAGTAACCCCCAGTGCTCCCAGTAACTCCCATCAATCCCATTTACCCCCAGTGTTCCCAGTATCTCCCAGTGATCCCCAGTGCTCCCAGTAATTCCCAATGATCCAAGTAACCCCAGTAACTCCCAGTAATTCCCAGTAACTCCCAGTAACCCCCAGTAACCCCCAGTAACTCCCAGTGCTCCCAGTAACCCCCAGTAATTCCCAGTAACCCCCTGTGCCTCCCCAGTGCTCCGAGCTCGCAGTGATCCCAGTAACCCCCAGTAACCCCCAGTACCTCCCAGTATTCCCAGTCCCTCCCCAGTTCTGCTCCCCATTGGTTTGTTCAGCTGTCCATCACATCATCCGCCCCGCCTCGTCGCAGCGCGCCGATTCCGATTGGCCGCTCCGTCCAAGAAGTCCCCGCCTTCCCCAGGGCTCTCCGGCCGCTGATTGGCTGAGCTCCGCCCGCTCTGCGCGCTGATTGGCCCGTTCGCCTTCACGTGCCGGAGGCCTCTTCCTGCCCTTTCCTTCCCGCCTTCTCCTCTCTCATTGCTCCCGCGCGCTGTCAATCTCCGTAATTCCCTCCCTGCCGCCCTTCTATTGGTTCTCCACAACGTCAATCATCCAGCGCGGGCAGTGATTGGTCGCGAGGCGGCGCGGGGGCGGGAGCAGGAGGCCGTGCCCAGCGTGAGGGGGACGCGGCCACCATGGCGGCGCCTCAGGCGGCGGCAGCGCTCGGGAGCGGTCCCGGGGCCACCGGAGCGGAGCTGCCCGAGCCGCTGGGGCTGCTGGAGCTCTGCGGGGCCTGCAGAAAACGCCTGAGCCCGCAGCGGGAACCGCGGCTGCTGCCCTGCCTGCACTCCGTGTGCCGGGGCTGCATCGGGAGCGAGCATGGAGACAAGAACGGTGAGGGGAGATGGGGATACTGGGGGATACTGGGGGATACTGGGAGCACTGGGAGGCGCGGGTGCTGCCCTGCCTGCACTCCGTGTGCCGGGGCTGCATCGGGAGCGAGCACGGGAACGGTGAGGGGAGATGAGGGACTGGGGATACTGGGGATACTGGGGATACTGGGAGCACTGGGAGCCACTGGGAGATAATGGGAGTTACTGGGAGCACTGGGGGATACTGGGAGCCACTGGGAGATACTGGGAGCCACTGGGAGATACTGGGAGCCACTGGGAGATGCTGAGAGTTATTGGGATTGCTGGAGTTTACTGGAGATTACTGGGAAGCGCTGGGGTTTACTGGGAGCACTGGGGGTTGCTGGGAGCACTGGGGGTTACTGGGAGATACTGGGAGCACTGGGGGTTACTGGGATCGCTGGAGTTTACTGGGGATTATTGGGGACGTACTGGGGATTAGTGGGAGCACTGGGGGATACTGGGAGCACTGGGAGCCACGCCTGGAGCCCACCTAAGGGACGGGAATGGTGGGAGGGACTGGGGGTACTGGGAGGTACTGGGAGGTATGGGGAGATAGCGGGGGATACTGGGAGTTACTGGGAGATACTGGGGGTCACTGGGGGATACTGGGAGCACTGGGAGTTACTGGGGGTCACTGGGGGATACTGGGAGCACTGGGAGTTACTGGGAGCACTGGGTTGTGCTCAGGGTCACTGGGAGCACTGGGGGCTACTGGGAGCACTGGGGAGGCATTGGGGCTTTACTGGGGTCACTGGGGGATACTGGGAGCTCTGTGGGGAGGGGACACCAACCCCTCTGTGTGGCACTGTCCCCTCCTTGGGGACACCGTGACCGTGCTGTGACTCTGTCCCCTTCGTGTCCCCTCAGCGTTCGAGTGTCCCGTGTGCCACCAGCAGTGTCCCCTGGGTGACATCATGGAGAACCTGTTCCTGCAGCCCAGCCCCAGCGGGCAGGTAGGGCTTAATTAATTAATTAATGTTAATTAACCCTAATTAACTGATGGGGTCTGAGGGACTTGTCCCTTGTCCCCAGAGCTGCACCAGCTGCGAGGACAACGCCAGGGCCACCAGCTTCTGTCTGGAGTGCTCGGAGCCGCTGTGCGCCACCTGCGTGGGGGCTCACCTGAGGGTCAGGTACACCCGGGAGCACCGCGTGCAGCCCCTGGGTGAGTGATGTCCCCCATTGTCACCTCCCTGTCACCTCATTGTCACCTCCCTGTGTCACCCGTGGCACCTCCTGTAACCCATTGCCATTCCCCCATTGCCATTCCCCATTCCCCCATTCCCATTCCCCCATTCCCCCATTCCCCCATTGCCATGTTCCTGTTCCCAGTTTCCCCCATTCCCAATTTTCCCTTTTGCTGTTCCCATTCCCAATTTCCCCCATTCCCTCATTGCCATGTTCCCATTCCCATTCCCCCATTACTGCATTCCCATGTTCCCATTCCAATTCCCCTATTCCCATTCCAAATTTCCCCCATTCCCCCATTTCCATTTGGGAATTTCCCATTCCCCCATTCCCCCATTCCCATTTCTATTCCCATTCCTAATTTTCCTATTCCCATTCCCATTTCCCCATTCCCAGTTTCCTCCATTCCAGGTCCCATTTCCCAATCCCATTCCCCCATTCCCATTCCCCCATTCCCTTACCCCCTTCCCCCATTCCCCAGTTTCCCCCATTCCAAAATTTCCCCGTTCCTGTTCCCATTCCCATTAATGTTCCCATTCCCATTTGTATTCCCATTCAAATTTTCCTATTCCCATTCTCATTCCCCCATTCCCATTCCCCCATTGCCACGTTCCTGTTCCCAGTTTCCCCCATTCCCAAGTTTCCCTATTGCTGTTCCCATTCCCAATTTCCCCCATTCCCTCATTGCCATGTTCCCATTCCCATTCCCCCATTACTACATTCCCATTTTCCCATTCCAAATTTCCCCCATTCCCCCATTCCCATTTGGGAATTTCCCATTCCCCCATTCCCCCATTCCCATTTGGGAATTTCCCATTCCCCCATTCCCATTCCCATTTCTATTCCCATTCAAATTTTCCTATTCCCATTCCCCCATTCCCAGTTTCCTCCATTCCAGGTCCCATTTCCCATTCCCATTCCCCCATTGCCACATTCCTGTTCCCAGTTTCCCTCATTCCCAATTTTCCCTATTGCTGTTCCCATTCCCAATATCCCCCATTCCCCTGTTCCCATGTTCCCATTCCCATTCCTACCCCATTCCTATTCCCCCATTACTGCATTCCCATGTTCCCATTCCAATTCCCATTTTCCCATTCCAAATTTCCCCCATTCCCCCATTCCCATTTCTATTCCCATTCTAATTTTCCTATTCCCATTCCCATTCCCCCATTCCCAGTTTCCTCCATTCCAGGTCCCATTTCCCAATCCCATTCCCCCATTCCCATTCCCCCATTCCCATTCCCCCATTCCCTTACCCCCTTCCCCCATTCCCCAGTTTCCCCCATTCCAATTCCCATTTTCCCATTCCCATTCCCCCCTTCCTATTCCAATTCCCATTTTCCCAATCCCATTGCCTTTGTTCCCATGTTCCCATTCCCATTCTCCCATTTTCCCATTCCCATTTCCATCCCCCATTCTGAGTTTTCCCCATTCCCATTCCCCCATTCCCAGTTTTTCAGTTTCTCCCATTCCCAATTTCCCCCATTCCCCCATTCCCGTTCCCATTTCTGTTCCCATTCCAATTTCCCCCATTCCCATTCCCCCATTTCCCCATTCCCATGTTCCCATTGCAATTCCCATTTTCCCAATCCCATTCCATGTTCTCATTCCCCCATTTCCAATTTCCCCCATTCCCATTCCCCATTCCCATTCCCCCATTCCCATTCCCATTCCCCCATTCCCATTCCCATTCCCATTCCCTCATTCCCCCATTCCCATTCCCATTCCCATTCCCATTCCCCCATTCCCATTCCCATTCCCCATTCCCATTCCCCCATTCCCATTCCCCCATTCCCATTCCCATTCCCATTCCCATTCCCTCATTCCCCCATTCCCATTCCCATTCCCATTCCCATTCCCCCATTCCCATTCCCATTCCCCCATTCCCATTCCCCCATTCCCCCATTCCCATTCCCCATTCCCATTCCCCCATTCCCATTCCCATTCCCCCATTCCCATTCCCCATTCCCCATTCCCAGTTTTCCCCCATTCCCATTCCCCATTCCCATTCCCCATTCCCCAATTCCCATTCCCCATTCCCATTCCCTCATTCCCCCATTCCCATTCCCCCATTCCCATTCCCCCATTCCCATTCCCCCATTCCCATTCCCCATTCCCACATTCCCCATTCCCATTCCCATTCCCCATTCCCATTCCCCATTCCCATTCCCCCATTCCCCATTCCCCCATTCCCATTCCCCATTCCCCCATTCCCATTCCCCATTCCACATTCCCCCATTCCCATTCCCCATTCCCATTCCCATTCCCCATTCCCATTCCCCATTCCCCCATTCCCATTCCCCCATTCCCCCATTCCCATTCCCCCATTCCCATTTCCCCATTCTCATTCCCCCATTCCCATTCCCCATTCCCATTCCCATTCCCCATTCCCATTTCCCCATCCCCATTCCCCCATTCCCCAATTCCCCATTCCCATTCCCCCATTCCCATTTCCCCATTCTCATTCCCCCATTCCCATTCCCCATTCCCCGTTCCCCATTCCCCCATTCCCATTCCCATTCCCATTCCCATTCCCATTCCCCCATTCCCATTCCCCATTCCCATTCCCCCATTCCCATTCCCCCATTCCCATTCCCCATTCCCATTCCCCCATTCCCATTCCCATTCCCCCATTCCCATTCCCCATTCCCATTCCCCATTCCCATTCCCATTCCCCATTCCCCCATTCCCATTTCCCCATTCCCCCATTCCCATTCCCCCATTCCCATTCCCCATTCCCCATTCCCATTCCCATTCCCATTCCCCCATTCCCATTCCCCATTCCCCCATTCCCCATTCCCATTCCCATTCCCCCATTCCACATTCCCCATTCCCATTCCCATTCCCCATTCCCATTCCCCCATTCCACATTCCCCGTTCCCCCATTCCCATTCCCCCATTCCCATTCCCATCCCCATTCCCCCATTCCACATTCCCCATTCCCCCATTCCCATTCCCCATTCCCCATTCCCATTCCCCCATTCCCATTCCCCCATTCCCATTCCCCCATTCCCATTCCCATTCCCCATTCCCATTCCCATTCCCCATTCACATTCCCCCATTCCCATTCCCCATTTCCATTCCCATTCCCCCATTCCCATTCCCTCATTCCCATTCCCCCATTCCCATTCCCATTTCCCCATTCCCATTCCTGTTCCCATTCCCCCATTCCCAATGGGAATGGGAATGGGGAAAACTGGGAAATTGGAAATGGGGGAATGGGAAGATGGGATGGAAATGGGAATGGGAAAAGAGAGGAATGGGTATGGGAACATGGGAATGTGGGAATGGGAATGGGGGGAAATTGGAAATGGGGGAATGGGAATGGGAATGGGGGAATGGGGAATGGGAATGGGGGAATGGGAATGGGAATGGGAATGGGGGAATGGGGGAATGGGAATGGGGGAATGGGAATGGGGAATGGGGGAATGGGGAATGGGAATGGGGGAATGGGAATGGGAATTGGGGAATGGGGAATGGGAATGGGAATGGGGGAATGGGGGAATGGGAATGGGGGAATGGGAATGGGGGAATGGGAATGGGGAATGGGAATGGGGGAATGGGAATGGGAAATGGGGGAATGGGGGAATGGGAATGGGGGAATGGGAATGGGGGAATGGGAATGGGGGATGGGAATGGGGGAATGGGGGAATGGGAAGGTGGGGATTGGAATGGGGAATGGGAATGGGGATGGGAATTGGGGAATGGGGAATGGGGGAATGGGGGAATGGGGGAATGGGAATGTGGGAATGGGAATGGGGAATGGGAATGGGAATTCCCTTGGTCCCATTCCCCCATTCCCGTCTCCGTTGCCGTTTTTGTTTCCGTTCCAATTTCCCCGTTCCCGCTTTCCCCCGTTCCAATCCCGCCGTTCTCTCTCTCCCCAGGCTCTCCGTCCCTTCCCGATCCCATTGCTCCCAATAATCCCAATAATCCCACAAATCCCATGGATCCCATGGATCCCATGGATCCCATTGACCCCGTCCCGGCGCCGTTCCCGTCCCGCTGCCGCTCGCACCCCCGGGAGCCGCTGTCCCTGTTCTGCAGCGCCTGCGAGAGCCTGACCTGCGGGGAGTGCCACAGGAGGGAGCACCGCCTGCACCCGTGAGTCTAATTAACGCTAATTAGTGCTAATTAATTAATTACTGTCATTACTGTCATTACTGTAACCCTTACTGTCATTACTGTAACCCTTACTGTCCTTACCGTAACCCTCACTGTCATTACTGTAATGGGAGTGCCACAGGAGGGAGCACCGCCTGCACCCGTGAGTCTCATTAACGCTAATTAATGCTAATTAATTAATTACTGTAACCCTTACTGTCAGTACTGTAACCCTTACTGTCCTTACCGTAACCCTTACTGTCATTGCTGTAATGGGAGTGCCACCGGCGGGAGCACCGCCTGCACCCGTGAGTCTAATTAACGCTAATTAATGCTAATTAATTAATTACTGTAACCCTTACTGTCATCATGTAACCCTTACTGTCCTTACCGTAACCCTTCCTGTCCTTACTGTAATGGGAGTGCCACAGGCGGGAGCACCGGCTGCACCCGTGAGTCTAATTAACCTTAATTAGTGCTAATTAGCGCTAATTACTGCTAATTACTGTCATTACTGCAACCCTTACTGTCAATACTGTAACCCTTATTGTCATTACTGTAATGGGAGTGCCACTGGCGGGAGCACCGGCTGCACCCGTGAGTCTAATTAACCTTAATTAGTGCTAATTAATTAATTACTGTAACCCCTACTGTCCTTACTGTAACCCTTACTGTCATTACTGCTGCCTCTGACCCCACCCGTGAGTGTTAATTACATTAATTATTGTAATTACTGTAATGGGAGTGCCACCGGCGGGAGCACCGCCTGCACCCGTGAGTCTAATTAATGCTAATTAATGCTAATTAATTAATTACTGTAACCCTTACTGTCCTTAATGTAACCCTTACTGTCATTACTGTAAGGGGAGTGCCACCGGCGGGAGCACCGCCTGCACCCGTGAGTCTAATTAGCCTTAATTAGTGCTAATTAATTAATTACTGTCATTACTGCTGCCATTGACCCCACCCGTGAGTGTTAATTACTGTAATTACTGTCATTACTGTAAAGGGACTGCACCCGGGAGTCTAATAACGTTAATTAGTGCTAATTAATTAATTACTGTCATTACTGCTGCCATTGACCCCACCCGTGAGTGTTAATTACTGTAATTACCATCATTACTGTAAGGGAACTGCACCCGTGAGTATAATTAGCGTTAATTACGGCTAATTAGTGCTAATTAGTGCTAATTACTGCTGCCATTGACCCCACCCGTGGGTGTTAATTACTGTAATTACCATCATTACTGTAATCCCTGAGGGAACACCACAGCACCAGTGAGTGTAATTAGCGTTAATTAGTGCTAATTAATTAATTACTGTCATTACTGTAATTAATGTAATCCTGGAGGGAACACCACAGCCCCAGTGAGTGTAATTAGCGTTAATTAGTGCTAATTAATTAATGACTGGCATTGCTGTAGCCAGGAGTGTCAGCAGAGGGAGCACAGACAGCAGCCGTGAATGGAATTAATGGAATTAATTGTAATTAGTGCTAATTAATGAGGGGGGGGGGGAGTGTCACCCCTGAGTGCCCAGCTGAGGGTGTAATTAACACTGCCTGCTTTAATTAGGGGTTAATTACTGAGTCTAATTACTGAGTTAACTACTTTAATTAGTGATTAATTACTCATTCCATTACTGATTTAATTAGTGGTGCTATCACTGGTTTAATTAGGGATTTAATTACTGATTCTATCATTGCTTTAATTAGGGATCAATTATTGATTCCATTACTGATTTAATTAGTGGTGCTATCACTGGTTTAATTAGGGATTTAATTAGGGATTCTATCACTGGTATAATTAGGGATTAATTACTGATTCTATCATCATTGCTTTAATTAGGGATTAATTACTGATTCTATCACTGGTTTATTTAGGGATTTAATTACTGATTCTATCACTGATTTAATTAGTGATTCTATCACTACTTTAATTACTGATTTAATTAATTTATTACTGATTTAATTACTTATTTTATGACGGATTTAATTACTGATTCAATCACTGCTTTAATTAGGGATTTAAATAATTTATTATTGATTTAATTACTTATTATGGATTCAATTACTGATGCTATTACTGGTTTAATTACGGATTTAATTAGTGATTTAAAAATTGCTTTAATTAGGGATAAATTACTGATTCCATTACTGATTTAATTACTGATTCCATCATCATTGCTTTAATTAGAGACTAATTACTGATTCCATTACTGATTTAGCTACTGGTGCTATCACTGCTTTAATGAGGGATTTAATTACTTTATTTATTACTGATTTAATTACTTATTATGGATTTAATTACTGATTCTATTACTGGTTTAATTAGTGATTAATTACTGATTCTATTACTGGTTTAGTTACTGATTCTATCACTGCTTTAATTAGGGATTTAATTACTGATTCCATTACTGATTTAATTACTGATTCTATTACTGATTTAACTACTGGTGCTATCACTGGTTTAATTAGGGATTAATTACTGATTCTATCACTGCCTTAATTAGGGATTTAATTACTGATTCTATTACTGGTTTAATTACTGATTTAATTAGTGACTTAAAAATTGATTTAATTTGGGACTTAATTACTGATTCTATTATTGATTCTATTACTGTTTTAATTACTGAGTTCAGTACTGCTTTAATTAGGGATTTAATTACTGATTCTATCACTGCTTTAATTAGGGATTTAATTACTGATTCTATCACTGCTTTAATTAGGGATTTAATTACTGATTCTATCACTCCTTTAATTAGGGAATAATTACTGATTCTATCACTGCTTTAATTAGGGATTAATTACTGATTCTATCACTCCTTTAATTAGGGATTTAATTACTGATTCTATCACTGCTTTAATTAGGGATTAATTACTGATTCTATCACTGCTTTAATTAGGGATTTAATTACTGATTCTATCATTGCTTTAATTAGGGATTTAACTACTGATTCTATCATTGCTTTAATTAGGGATTTAATTACTGATTCTATTATCATTGCTTTAATTAGGGATTTAATTACTGATTCTATCACTGCTTTAATTAGGGATTTAATTACTGATTCCATCACTGCTTTAATTAGGGATTTAATTACTGATTCCATTACTGATTTAACTACTGGTGCTATCATTGCTTTAATTAGGGATTTAATTACTGATTCTATCACTGCTTTAATTAGGGATTTAATTACTGATTCTATCACTGCTTTAATTAGGGATTTAATTACTGATTCTATCACTGCTTTAATTAGGGATTAATTACTGATTCTATCATTGCTTTAATTAGGGATTTAATTACTGATTCTATCATTGCTTTAATTAGGGATTTAATTACTGATTCCATTACTGATTCCATTACTGATTTAGCTACTGGTGCTATCATTGCTTTAATTAGGGATTTAATTACTGATTCTATCATTGCTTTAATTAGGGATTTAATTACTGATTCTATCACTGCTTTTCCTTTTTTTCTTATTTTTCCTTTTCCCCTTTTTCCTTTTCCCCTTTTTCTTTTTTCCCCTTTTAAATTTTCCCCCTTTTTTCCTTTCCCCACCTTTTCTCCCTTTTTCTTTCCCGCTTTTTCCTTTTCCCCTTTTAAATATTTCCCTTTTTCCTTTTCCCCCATTTTCTCCCCAATTTCCCCCCATTTTTTCCTATTCCCCCCATTTCTCCCATTTTTTCCTATTCCCCCATTTCCTCCACGTTTTCTCCATTTTTTCCCCATTTCCCCCCATTTTTCCCCATTTTTCCCAATTTCCCCCATGTTTTCTCCATTTCCCCCCATTTTCCCCCATTTCCCCCACATTTTCCCCATTTCCCCCCATTTCCCCCATTTCCCCCCATTTTCCCATTTCCCCCTTTTCTCCCTGTGTTTACTCTCATTTTCCCAATTTCCCCCATTTTCTCCCCAATTTCCCCCCCATTTCCTCCACCTTTTCTCCATTTCCCCCATTTTCCCCCATTTTCCCAATTTTTCTCCATTTTCCTCCATTTTCCCCATTTCCCCCCTTTTTCCCCAATTTCCTCCCCTTTTCCCCATTTTTCCCTGTTTTCCCTATTTTCCCCCATTCCCCCCATTTTTCCCCATTTTTCCCCATTTTTCCCCCATTTTCCCCCATTTCCCCATTTCCCCCCATTTCCCCCCATTTCCCCCATTTCCCGCCATTTTCCCCCATGTTTTTCCCTATAATTTCCCCCATTTTCCCCCATTTCCCTCATTTCCCTCCCTTTTCTCCCCATTTTCCCCCATTTTCCCCATTTCTCCCCATTTCCCCCCATTCCCCCCATTTCCCCCTAATTTTCCCCAATTTTCCCCCATTTCCTCCCCCTTTTCCCTCCATTTCCCCCCATGTTTCCCCCATACTTTTCCCTCATGTTTTCTCCATTTTCCCCCATTTTTTCCCAATTTCCCCCATTTTCCCCCATTTTCCACCCATTTTCCCCAATTTCCCCCCATTTTTCCCCATTTTCCCCCCTTTTTTCCCCCATTTTCCCCCATTTCCCCATTTCCCCATTTCCCCCGTTTTCCCCATTTCCCCCCTTTTTCCCCAATTTCCCCCAATTTCCCCCATTTTCCCCCCGTTTTCCCCCATTTTCCCCTAATTTTTCCCAATTTTTTCCCCATTTTCCCCCATTTTCCCCAATTTCCCCCATTTTCCCCATGTCACCCTAATTTTCCCCTAATTTCCCCCCTATTTTCCCCCATTTTTCCCCCATTTCCCCCTAATTTTCCCCAATTTTTTCCCCATTTCCCCCCTTTCCCCCATTTCCCCCCATTCTCCCCCCATTTCCCCCATTTTTCCCAATTATCCCCATTTCCCCCCATTTTTCCCAATTTTTCCCCATTTTCCCCCATTTCCTCCCACTTTTTCCTCCATTTCCCCCATGTTTCCCCAATACTTTTCCCTCATGTTTTCCCCATTTCCCCCATTTCCCCCACATTTCCCCCATTTTTTCCCCATTTTCCCCATTTTCCCCCAATTTCCTCCATTTTCCCCATTTCCCCCACATTTCCCCAATTTCCCCCATTTCTCCCCAATTTCCCCCCATTCTTCCCCATTTCCCCCACATTCCCCCCATGTTTTTCCCCTTTTTCCCCATTTTCCCCATTTTCCCCCATTTCCCCCCCATTTCCCCCCATTTCCTCCCCGTTTTCCCTCCATTTCCCCCCATGTTTCCCCCATACTTTTCCCTCATGTTTTCCCTATTTCCCCCATTTCCCCCCATTTCCCCCATTTCCCCATTTTTCCCCAATTTCCCCAATTTCCCCATTTTTCCCCATTTTCCCCCATTTCCCCATTTTTCCCCATTTTTCCCCAATTTCCTCCATTTTCCCCATTCCCCCCATTTTCCCCATTTCCCCCCATTTCCCCCCATTTCCTCCCCCTTTTCCCCCCATTTTTCCCCCACATTCCCCCCATATTTTCCCCCATTTTTCCCCCATTTTCCCTCATTTCCCCCTGATTTTCCCCAATTTTTTTCCCCATTTTCCCCCATTCTCCCCCCATTTCCCCCACATTCCCCCCATTTTTCCCCATTTCCCCCCAATTTTCCCCCATTTCCCCCCAATTTTCCCAATTTCCCCCTAATTTTCCCCAATTTTTTCCCCATTTCCCCCCATTCCCCCATTTCCCCCAATTATCCCCATTTCCCCCCTTTTCCCCCCATTTCCCCCATTTTCCCCATTTTCCCCCAATTTCCTCCATTTTCCCCCATTTCCCCCCATTTCCCCCCATTTCCCCCCATATTTTCCCCCATTTTCTCCCATTTCCCCCACATTTCCCCCATTTCCCCCCAATTTCCCCCATTTTTTCCCCCATTTCCCCCATTTTCCCCCATTTTCCCCCCTTTCCCCCATTTCCCCCACATTTCCCCCATTTTTCCCCATTTTCCCCATTTTCCCCCATTTCCCCCATTTCCTCCCCCTTTTCCCCCCATATTTTCCCCCATTTCTCCCCCATTTTCCCCACATTTCCCCCACGTTTTTCCCCAATTTCCCCCATTTTTCCCTCTGTTTTCCCCAATTCCCCCCCATTTCCCCCTAATTTTTCCCCAATTTTTCCCAATTTTCCCCATTTTTCCCCCATTTCCCCCCAATTTTCCCCATTTTCTCCCCAGCTCCCAGCCCGTGGCCGAGGCCGTTCTCCAGCAGCGCTCGGTGCTGTCGGCGCTGCTGCAGCGCCTGGCGGAGAAACACAGCGAGGTGCAGCGCTGCAGCGCCCAGCTGCACGCATGGTCAGTGTCCCCAAGTGTCCCCAAATGTCACCTCAGTGTCCCTGAGTGTCACCTGTGTCCCTCATTGTCCCCTGAGTGTCCCCGAGTGTCCCTGAGTGTCCCCTGCTGCAGCGCCTGGCAGGGAAACACAGCGAGGTGCAGCGCTGCAGCGCCCAGCTGCACGCATGGTCAGTGTCCCCGAGTGTCCCCAAGTGTCCCCAAGTGTCACCTGTGTCCCTCATTGTCCCCTGAGTGTCCCTGAGTGTCCCTGAGTGTCCCCTGCTGCAGCGCCTGGCAGGGAAACACAGCGAGGTGCAGCGCTGCAGCGCCCAGCTGCACGCATGGTCAGTGTCCCTGAGTGTCCCTGAGTGTCCCCAAATGTCCCCAAGTGTCACCTGTGTCCCTCAGTGTCACCTGTGTGTCCCCGAGTGTCCCCTGCTGCAGCGCCTGGCGGAGAAACACAGCGAGGTGCAGCGCTGCAGCGCCCAGCTGCACGCATGGTCAGTGTCCCCGAGTGTCCCCGAGTGTCACCTGTGTCACCTGTGTCCCTCATTGTCCCCTGTGTGTCCCCGAGTGTCCCCTGCAGCAGCGCCTGGCGGAGAAACACAGCGAGGTGCAGCGCTGCAGTGCCCAGCTGCACGCATGGTCAGTGTCCCCAAGTGTCCCCAAATGTCCCCAAGTGTCCCCAAGTGTCACCTGTGTCCCTCATTGTCCCCTGAGTGTCCCTGAGTGTCCCTGAGTGTCCCTGCTGCAGTGTCTGGCAGGGAAACACAGCGAGGTGCAGCGCTGCAGCGCCCAGCTGCACGCATGGTCAGTGTCCCCAAGTGTCCCCAAGTGTCCCCAAATGTCCCTGAATGTCACCTCAGTGTCCCTGAGTGTCCCCTGAGTGTCCCCTGAGTGTCCCCTGAGTGCCACCTGTGTCCCTGAGTGTCCCTGAGTGTCCCCTGCTGCAGCGCCCAGCTGCACGCCTGGTCAGTGTCCCCAAGTGTCCCCGAGTGTCCCCTGAATGTCACCTGTGTCCCCTCCCTGTCCCCTGTGCATCCCCTCCCTGTCCCCTGAGTGTCCCTGAGTGTCCCCCTATGCTCCGAGTGTCGGTGAGTGTCCCCTCCATGTCCCCTCCATGTCCCCGTGTGTCCCCTCCATGTCCCCGAGTGTCCCCTCCCTGTCCCCTGTGTGTCCCCTCCGTGTCCCCTGAGTGTCCCCAGTGTGTCACTGAGCATCCCTGCCTGTCCCCTGAGTGTCCCCTCCCTGTCCCCAAGTGTCCCCTCCATGTCCCCTGTGTGTCCCCTCCATGTCCCCTGTGTGTCCCCTCCATGTCCCCTCCATGTCCCCAAGTGTCCCCTGTGTGTCCCCTCCATGTCCCCGGAGTGTCCCCTCCCTGTCCCCTGTGCATCCCCTCCCTGTCCCCTCCCTGTCCCCTCCCTGTCCCCTGAGTGTCCCCTGTGTGTCCCCTCCATGTCCCCAAGTGTTCCCTGCCTGTCCCCTGTATGTCCCCTCCATGTCCCCTGGGTGTCCCCCGTGTGTCCCCTCCATGTCCCCTGAGTGTCTCCAGTGTCCCTGCCTGTCCCTGAGTGTCACTTCCCTGTCCCCCGTGTGTCCCTTCCATGTCCCCTGTGTGTCCCCTCCATGTCCCCTCCGTGTCCCCTCCATGTCCCCTCCATGTCCCCAAGTGTCCCCAAGCGTCCCCTCCCTGTCCCCTCCATGTCCCCTGAGTGTCCCCTCCCTGTCCCCCGTGTGTCCCCTCCATGTCCCCTGTGTGTCCCCTGAGTGTCCCCAGTGTGTCACTGAGCATCCCTGCCTGTCCCCTGAGTGTCCCCTCCCTGTCCCCAAGTGTCCCCTCCATGTCCCCAAGTGTCCCCAAGTGTCCCCTCCCTGTCCCCAAGTGTCCCCTCCCTGTCCCCTGTGTGTCCCTGAGTGTCCCCAAGTGTTCCCTCTCGGTCCCCTGTGTGTCCCCTCCCTGTCCCCTGGATGTCCCCCCATGTCCCCAAGTGTCCCTCCGTGTCCCCTGGGTGTCCCCTTCATGTCCCCTGTGTGTCCCCTCCCCTTCCCCTCCCTGTCTCCTCCATGTCCCCTGAGTGTCCCCTCCATGTCCCCTCCCTGTCCCCCAGTGTCCCCTCCCTGTCCCCGTGTGTCCCCTCCATGTCCCCCCATGTCCCCAGGTGTCCCCTTCCTGTCCCCTGAGTGTCCGCTGAGTGTCCCCAGTGTGTCACTGAGCATCCCTGCCTGTCCCCTGGATGTCCCCCCATGTCCCCAAGTGTCCCTCCGTGTCCCCTGGGTGTCCCCTCCATGTCCCCTGGGTGTCCCCTGTGTGTCCCCCCATGTCCCCAAGTGTCCCCTGTGTGTCCCCTCCATGTCCCCAAGTGTCCCCTCCCTGTCCCCCGTGTGTCCCCTCCATGTCCCCTCCGTGTCCCCTCCATGTCCCCAAGTGTCCCCTCCCTGTCCCCCGTGTGTCCCCTCCCTGTCCCCTCCATGTCCCTGAGTGTCCCCTCCCTGTCCCCTGTGTGTCCCCCAGTGTCCCCTCCCTGTCCCCGTGTGTCCCCTCCCTGTCCCCTGTGTGTCCCTGTGCATCCCCTCCATGTCCCCTGAGTGTCCCCCGTGTGTCCCCCCCATGTCCCCTCCATGTCCCCTGAGTGTCCCCGTGTCCCCTCCCTGGCCCGTCCATGTCCCCTCCATCTCCCCTGTGCATCCCCTCCATCTCCCCTGAGTGTCCCCGTGTGCCACCCCATGTCCCCTCCCTGTCCCCTCCGTGTCCCCTCCGTGTCCCCAAGTGTCCCCGTGTGTCCCCAGCTCTCGGCGCGTGTCGGACGCGCAGAAGCGGCTGCAGGTGGAGGTCAAGCTGGCCATCCTGCAGGTCATGAGGGAGCTCAACCAGCGCGCCAAGGCCCTCGTGGGGGACGTCCAGGTGAGAGTGCCACCGCCCCCGGTGTCCCCGAGTGTCCCCGAGTGTCCCCGAGTGTCCCCTGAGTGTCCCCAAGTGTCACTGCCATGGTGACATTGCTGGTATAGAAAATTGACGAGAAATCCAAATTAATCAATGGGAAAAATTTTATTTTTGGGACCAAAATCCCCCCCTGAGTGTCCCCTGAGTGTCCCTGAGTGTCCCCCGAGTGTCCCCTGAGTGTCCCTGCCATGGTGACACTGCTGGTGTAAATAATCAGCCAGAAATCCAAATTAATCCATGGGAAAAATTTTATTTTTGGGACCAAAATCCTTCCATGAGTGTCCCTTGAGTGTCCCCTGAGTGTCCCCTGAGTGTCCCCAAGTGTCCCCTGAGTGTCCCTGAGTGTCCCCGAGTGTCCCCTGAGTGTCAGTGGTGACAAAGATCAAGGAGAAATCCAAATTAATCCATGGGAAAAATTTTATTTTTGGGACCAAAATCCCCCCCTGAGTGTCCCCTGAGTGTCCCCTGAGTGTCCCCCGAGTGTCCCCGAGTGTCCCCTGAGTGTCAATGGTGACAAAGATCAAGGAGAAATCCAAATTAATCCATGGGAAAAATTTTATTTTTGGGACCAAAATCCCCCCATGAGTGTCCCCTGAGTGTCCCCTGAGTGTCCCCTGAGTGTCCCCGAGTGTCCCCGAGTGTCCCTTGAGTGTCCCCTGAGTGTCCCCTGAGTGTCCCCGAGTGTCCCCCGAGTGTCCCCTGAGTGTCAGTGGTGACAAAGATCAAGGAGAAATCCAAATTAATCAATGGGAAAAATTTTATTTTTGGGACCAAATTTTGGTCCTCAAACTCACAGTCAGCCCCTGAGTGTCCCTTGAGTGTCCCCTGAGTGTCCCTGAGTGTCCCCGAGTGTCCCTGAGTGTCAGTGGTGACAAAGATCAAGGAGAAATCCAAATTAATCAATGGGAAAAATTTTATTTTTGGGACCAAAATTTGGTCCTCAAACCCACAGTCAGCCCCTGAGTGTCCCTTGAGTGTCCCCGAGTGTCCCCTGAGTGTCCCTGAGTGTCCCCTGATGTCCCCGAGTGTCCCCTGAGTGTCAATGGTGACAAAGATCAATGAAAAATTTTATTTTTGTGACCAAAATCCTTCCATGAGTGTCCCCTGAGTGTCCCTGAGTGTCCCCGAGTGTCTCTGAGTGTCCCCTGAGTGTCCCCGAGTGTCCCCCGAGTGTCAATGGTGACAAAGATCAAGGAGAAATCCAAATTAATCAATGGGAAAAATTTTATTTTTGGGACCAAAATCCTTCCATGAGTGTCCCCTGAGTGTCCCCGAGTGTCCCCGAGTGTCCCCTGAGTGTCCCTGAGTGTCCCCGAGTGTCCCCTGAGTGTCAATGGTGACAAAGATCAAGGAGAAATCCAAATTAATCAATGGGAAAAATTTTATTTTTGGGACCAAAATTTGGTGCTCAAACCCACAGTCAGGCCCTGAGTGTCCCCTGAGTGTCCCCTGAGTGTCCCCTGAATGTCCCTGAGTGTCCCTGAGTGTCCCTGAGTGTCCCCGAGTGTCCCCTGAGTGTCCCTGCCATGGTGACACTGCCGGTGTAAATACTCAGCCAGAAATCCAAATTAATCCATGGGAAAAATTTTATTTTTGGGACCAAAATCCTTCCATGAGTGTCCCCTGAGTGTCCCCTGAGTGTCCCCTGAGTGTCCCCCAAGTGTCCCTGAGTGTCCCTGAGTGTCCCCGAGTGTCCCTGAGTGTCCCCAAGTGTCAATGGTGACAAAGATCAATGAGAAATCCAAATTAATCAATGGGAAAAATTTTATTTTTTGCACCAAAATTTGGTCCTCAAACCCACAGTCAGCCCCTGAGTGTCCCCTGAGTGTCCCCTGAGTGTCCCCTGAGTGTCCCCTGAATGTCCCCGAGTGTCAGTGGTGACAAAGATCAAGGAGAAATCCAAATTAATCAATGGGAAAAATTTTATTTTTGGGACCAAAATTTGGTCCTCAAACCCACAGTCAGTCCCTGAGTGTCCCTGAGTGTCCCCTGAGTGTCCCTGAGTGTCCCCTGAGTGTCCCCGAGTGTCCCCTGAGTGTCCCTGAGTGTCCCCTGAGTGTCCCCTGAGTGTCCCCTGAGTGTCCCTGAGTGTCCCCTGAGTGTCCCCGAGTGTCCCCTGAGTGTCAGTGGTGACAAAGATCAATGAGAAATCCAAATTAATCAATGGGAAAAATTTTATTTTTGGGACCAAAATCCTCCCCTGAGTGTCCCTGAGTGTCCCCTGAGTGTCCCCTGAGTGTCCCTGAGTGTCCCCTGAGTGTCCCCGAGTGTCCCCTGAGTGTCAATGGTGACAAAGATCAAGGAGAAATCCAAATTAATCAATGGGAAAAATTTTATTTTTGGGACCAAAATTTGGTCCTCAAACTCACAGTCAGCCCCTGAGTGTCCCCTGAGTGTCCCTGAGTGTCCCCGAGTGTCCCCTGAGTGTCCCCGAGTGTCCCCGAGTGTCCCCTGAGTGTCCCCGAGTGTCCCCTGAGTGTCACTGCCATGGTGACACTGCTGGCGTAAAGAATCAGCCAGAAATCCAAATTAATCAATGGGAAAAATTTTATTTTTGGGACCAAAATCCTCCCCTGAGTGTCCCTGAGTGTCCCCAAGTGTCCCTGAGTGTCCCCAAGTGTCCCCAATGTCATTGGTGACAAAGATCAAGGAGAAATCCAAATTAATCAATGGGAAAAATTTTATTTTTGGGACCAAAATCCTTCCATGAGTGTCCCCTGAGTGTCCCCGAGTGTCCCCTGAGTGTCCCCGAGTGTCATTGCCATGGTGACATTGCCGGTATAGAAGATCAATGAGAAATCCAAATTAATCAATGGGAAAAATTTTATTTTTGGGACCAAAATTTGGTCACAGTGTCCCTGAGTGTCCCCGAGTGTCACCCGAGTGTCCCCTGAGTGTCCCCGAGTGTCCCCTGAGTGTCCCCTGAGTGTCCCCTGAGTGTCAATGCTGACAAAGATCAAGGAGAAATCCAAATTAATCAATGGGAAAAATTTTATTTTTGGGACCAAAATCCTTCCATGAGTGTCCCCTGAGTGTCCCCTGAGTGTCCCCTGAGTGTCCCTGAGTGTCCCCTGAGTGTCCTCGAGTGTCCCCTGAGTGTCCCTGAGTGTCCCCGAGTGTCCCCTGAGTGTCAATGGTGACAAAGATCAAAGAGAAATCCAAATTAATCAATGGGAAAAATTTTATTTTTGGGACCAAAATTTGGTCCTCAAACCCACAGTCAGCCCCTGAGTGTCCCCGAGTGTCCCCGAGTGTCCCTGAGTGTCCTCGAGTGTCCCTGAGTGTCACTGCCATGGTGACATTGCTGGTGTAAAGAATCAGCCAGAAATCCAAATTAATCAATGGGAAAAAATTTATTTTTGGGACCAAAATCATTCCATGAGTGTCCCTTGAGTGTCCCCCGAGTGTCCCCGAGTGTCCCCTGAGTGTCCCCAAGTGTCACTGCCATGGTGACATTGCTGGTATAGAAGATCAATGAGAAATCCAAATTAATCAATGGGAAAAATTTTATTTTTGGGACCAAAATTTGGTCCTCAAACCCACAGTCAGCCCCTGAGTGTCCCCTGAGTGTCCCCTGAGTGTCCCCTGAGTGTCCCCTGAGTGTCCCTTGAGTGTCCCTGAGTGTCCCCGAGTGTCCCCTGAGTGTCCCCAAGTGTCCCCTGAGTGTCCCCTGAGTGTCCCCGAGTGTCCCCTGAGTGTCACCTGAGTGTCAATGGTGACAAAGATCAAGGAGAAATCCAAATTAATCAATGGGAAAAATTTTATTTTTGTGACCAAAATCCCCCCCTGAGTGTCCCCTGAGTGTCCCCTGAGTGTCCCCTGAGTGTCCCTGAGTGTCCCCAAGTGTCACTGCCATGGTGACACTGCTGGCACTGCCATGGTGACACTGCTGGTGTAAAGAATCAGCCAGAAATCCAAATTAATCGATGGGAAAAATTTTATTTTTGGGACCAAAATCCTCCCCTGAGTGTCCCCTCAGTGTCCCCTGAGTGTCCCCTGAGTGTCCCCGAGTGTCCCTGAGTGTCCCTGAGTGTCCCCTGAGTGTCAATGGTGACAAAGATCAAGGAGAAATCCAAATTAATCAATGGGAAAAATTTTATTTTTGGGACCAAAATCCTTCCATGAGTGTCCCTGAGTGTCCCTGAGTGTCCCCTGAGTGTCCCCGAGTGTCCCCTGAGTGTCCCCTGAGTGTCACTGCCATGGTGACATTGCTGGTATAGAAGAAAAAATTCTAATTCTAAAAATTTCAACTAATTAAAATTTGGACTTAATAATTATGTATAAATAGTAATTATTAACAAATAATAATAACAATAGTAATAGTAATAATAATAATAATAATAATAATAAAAGAATAATTAGACTATATTTATATATATAAAAATAGTAATTCTAAAAATTTTAATTAAAGTATTAATAAAAATTTGGACTAAATAATAATTATAAACAAGTAAGAATAATAATATATAAATAATAATCCTATTTTAACTAAAACAATAATAAAAATTTGGACTAAGTAATAATAATAAACAAATAATGATAATAATTATATATAAATAATAATTCTATTATATTTATATATATAAAAATAATAACTATAAGAAATTCACCTACAACAACAACCAAGCTTTGGCCTCACCATTTGTGTCCCCCGTGTGTGTCCCCTGTGTCCCTCATGTGTCCCCTGTGTGTCCCCACCCCATGTGTCCCCCATGTGTCCCCTGTGTGTCCCCCGTGTGTCCCCTGTGTGTCCCCTGTTTGTCCCCACCCCATGTGTCCCCCGTGTGTCCCTCATGTGTCCCCCCCGTGTCCCCTGTGTGTCCCCTGTGTGTCCCCACCCCATGTGTCCCTCATGTGTCCCCTGTGTGTCCCCTGTTTGTCCCCACCCCATGTGTCCCCCGTGTGTCCCCTGTGTGTCCCCTGTTTGTCCCCTGTGTGTCCCCTGTGTGTCCCCTGTTTGTCCCCACCCCATGTGTCCCCCATGTATCCCCCGTGTGTCCCCCATGTGTCCCCCGTGTGTCCCCTGTGTGTCCCCTGTTTGTCCCCACCCCATGTCCCCCCCGTGTGTCCCCCGTGTGTCCCCCGTGTGTCCCCTGTGTGTCCCCACCCCATGTGTCCCCTGTGTGTCCCCTGTGTGTCCCCCATGTGTCCCCCCCGTGTCCCCCATGTGTCCCCTGTGTGTCCCCACCCCATGTGTCCCCCATGTGTCCCCTGTGTGTCCCCCGTGTGTCCCCTGTGTGTCCCCACCCCATGTCCCCCCCATGTGTCCCCCATGTGTCCCCCGTGTGTCCCCTGTGTGTCCCCTGTTTGTCCCCACCCCATGTGTCCCTCATGTGTCCCCTGTGTGTCCCCCATGTGTCCCCCCCGTGTCCCCCATGTGTCCCCTGTGTGTCCCCCGTGTGTCCCCTGTGTGTCCCCTGTTTGTCCCCACCCCATGTGTCCCCCATGTGTCCCCTGTGTGTCCCCTGTGTGTCCCCACCCCATGTATCCCTCATGTGTCCCCTGTGTGTCCCCCATGTGTCCCCCCCGTGTCCCCCATGTGTCCCCCGTGTGTCCCCTGTGTGTCCCCTGTTTGTCCCCACCCCATGTGTCCCCCGTGTCCCCCGTGTGTCCCCCGTGTGTCCCCAGCGCGTCACCGAGGGCCGGCGGCAGCGCCTGGAGCGGCAGCGTCGGGAGCTGAGCCGGGCGCGGCGGCTGCAGGAGCACGCGCTGCGATTCGGGGCCCGCGCGCTGCACGGGCGCCACGGCACCGCCCTGCTGCTGTCCCGGAGATTGGTGAGGGAAAATACCCCAAAAATGCCCCAAATGTACCCCAAAAATGCCCCAAATGTACCCCAAAAATACCCCACGGCACCGCCCTGCTGCTGTCCAGGAGATTGGTGAGAGAATGCCCCAAAAATGCCCCAAATGTACCCCAAAAATACCCCAAATACACCCCAAATATACCCCACAGCACCGCCCTGCTGCTGTCCAGGAGATTGGTGAGAGGAAACTCCCCAAAAATACCCTAAATTTACCCTAAATGTACCCCAAATGTACCCCAAATATACCCCACGGCACCGCCCTGCTGCTGTCCCGGAGATTGGTGAGAGAAAACCCCAAAAATGCCCCAAATGTACCCCAAATATACCCCAAATGTACCCCAAAAATAACCCTAAATGTACCCTAAATTAACCCCAAATGTACCCCAAAAATACCCCAAATGTACCCCAAAAATACCCCACGGCACCGCCCTGCTGCTGTCCCGGAGATTGGTGAGAGCCCCAAAAATGCCCCAAATGTACCCCAAATGTACCCCAAAAATACCCCAAAAATACCCCACGGCACCGCCCTGCTGCTGTCCAGGAGGCTGGTGAGAGAAAATACCCCAAAAATACCCTAAATTTACCCTAAATGTACCCCAAAAATAGCCCTAAACGTGCCCCAAATATACCTTAAATATACCCCAAAAATACCCTTAAATGTACCCCAAATATACCCCAAATGTACCCCACGGCACCGCCCTGCTGCTGTCCAGGAGACTGGTGAGGGAATGCCCCAAAAATACCCCAAAAATACCCTAAATTTACCCTAAATGTACCCCAAAAATAGCCCTAAACGTGCCCCAAAAATACCCCAAATATACCCCAAATATACCCCAAAAATAAATACCCCCAAAAATACCCCACGGCACCGCCCTGCTGCTGTCCAGGAGACTGGTGAGGGAAAATACCCCAAAAATGCCCCAAATGTACCCCAAATGTACCCCAAATGTACCCCAAAAATACCCTTAAATGTACCCCAAAAATACCCCAAATGTACCCCACGGCACCGCCCTGCTGCTGTCCAGGAGATTGGTGAGAGAAAACCCCAAAAATGCCCCAAATTTACCCCAAATGTACCCCAAATATACCCCAAAAATACCCCAAATGTACCCTAAATTAACCCCAAATGTACCCCAAAAATACCCCAAATATACCCCACGGCACCGCCCTGCTGCTGTCCCGGAGACTGGTGAGAGAAAGCCCCAAAAATGCCCCAAATGTACCCCAAAACTACCCCAAATTTACCCCTAAATGTACCCCAAATATACCCCCAAAATACCCCAAAAATACCCCACGGCACCGCCCTGCTGCTGTCCCGGAGACTGGTGAGGGAATGCCCCAAAAATGCCCCAAAATACCCCCAAATGTACCCCAAAAATACCCAATGTGTCCTCAATGTGTCCCCAACGTGTCCCCAATGTCCCCCCAAGTGCAGGCGCAGCTGTTGGGGGCCCTGGGGGTGCCTGGGGCTCTGTGATGTCCCCAATGTCCCCAGTGTCCCAAATGTCCTCAAACGTCCCCAAATCCTCTCACAATGTCCCCCATGTCCCCAATGTGTCCCCAATGTGTCCCCAATGTCCCCAATGTGTCCCCAAGTGCAGGCGCAGGTGTTGGGGGCCCTGGGGCTCTGTGATCTCCCCGATGTCCCCTGATGTCCCCAATGTCCCCTGATGTCCCCAAATCCTCTCAATGTCCCCAATGTCCTCAATGTGTCCCCAAGTGCAGGCGCAGGTGTTGGGGGCCTTGGGGCTCTGTGATGTCTCCAATGTCCCTAAATGTCCCTGATGTCCCCAATGTGTCCCCCATGTCCCCACTGTCCCCAATGTGTCCCCACTGTCCCCAATGTTCCCAATGTCCGCAATGTCCCCAATATCCCCTGATGTCCCCAATGTCCCTAATGTCCTCCATGTCCCCCATGTCCCCCAATGTCCTCACTGTCCCCAATGTCCCCAATGTCCCCAATGTGTCTGTCCCCAATGTCCCCTTATGTCCCCAATGCCCCTGATGTCCCCAATGTCCCCAATGTGTCCCCGTTGTCCCCAGGTGCAGGCGCAGCTGTTGGGGGCCCTGGGGCTCTGTCATGTCCCCCATGTCCCCCATGTCCCCAATGTCCCCCAATGTCCCCCAATGTCCCCCAATGTCTCCACTGTCCCCTTATGTCCCCCATGTCCCCCATGTCCCCCAATGTCCCCAATGTGTCCCCCATGTCCTCACTGTCCCCAATGTGTCCCCAATGTGTCCCCGTTGTCCCCACTGTCCCCAATGTGTCCCCATTGTGTCCCCAATGTGTCCCCGTTGTCCCCAGGTGCAGGCGCAGCTGTTGGGGGCCCTGAGGCTCTGTGATGTCCCCGATGTCCCCAAATGTCCCTGATGTCCCCCATGTCCCCAATGTCCCCAATGCCCCCAATGTCCTCCATGTCCCCCATGTCCCCCAATGTCCTCAATGTGTCTGTCCCCAATGTCCCCTTATGTCCCCCATGTCCCCGATGTCCCCCCATGTCCCCCATGTCCCCCAATGTCCCCAATGTGTCCCCGTTGTCCCCAGGTGCAGGCGCAGCTGTTGGGGGCCCTGAGGGTGCCTGGGGCTCTGTGATGTCCCCAATGTCCCCAATGTGTCCCCAATGTGTCCCCAGGTGCAGGCGCAGCTGTTGGGGGGCCCTGGGGCTCTGTGATGTCCCCAATGTCCCCAATGTGTCCCCAATGTGTCCCCCAATGTGTCCCCAGGTGCAGGCGCAGCTGTTGGGGGCCCTGAGGGTGCCCCTGGAGCCCCCGGAGCCTCAGGGGGAGCTGCGGTTCCAGTGGGACCTGCAGGGATGGACCCGGAGCGCCCAGAGCTTCGGTGAGGGGACACTGGGGACAATGAGGGGACAGTGGGGACAGCTGGGACACTGAGGGGACAATGGCGACACTGAGGGGACAATGGGGACAGCTGGGACACTGAGGGGACAATGGGGACACTGAGGGGACAGTGGGACCTGCAGGGATGGACCCGGAGCGCCCAGAGCTTCGGTGAGGGGACACTGAGGGGACATTGGGGACAACGAGGGGACAATGGGGACACTGAGGGGACATTGGGGACAGCTGGGACACTGAGGGGATAATGGGGACAATGGGACACTGAGGGGACAGTGGGGACAATGGGGACAATGAGGGGACAATGGTGACACTGAGGGGACACTGAGGGGACAGTGGGGTCACTGAGGGGACACTGAGGACAATGGGGACATTGAGGGGACACTGGGGACAATGGGGACAGCTGGGACCTGCAGGGATGGACCCGGAGCGCCCAGAGCTTCGGTGAGGGGACACTGGGGACAATGGGGATACTGAGACACTGAGGGGACAGTGGGGACACTGAGGGGCAATGGGGACAATGAGGGGACAGTGGGGACACTGAGGGGACAGTGGGACCTGCAGGGATGGACCCGGAGCGCCCAGAGCTTCGGTGAGGGGACACTGGGGACAATGGGGACAACGAGGGGACAATGGGGACAATGGGACACTGAGGGGACACTGAGGGGACAATGGGGACACTGGGACACTGAGGGGACACTGAGGGGACAATGGGGACACTGGGACACTGAGGGGACAATGGGGATACTGAGGGGACAATGGGGACACTGGGACACTGAGGGGACAATGGGGACAGCTGGGACACTGAGGGGGCAGTGGGGACAATGGGGGGACAATGGGGACACTGGGACACTGAGGGGACAGTGGGGACAATGGGGACACTGAGGGGACAGTGGGGACAATGGGGACAATGAGGGGACAATGGGGACACTGAGGGGACATTGGGGACACTGAGGGGACACTGGGACACTGGTGACACTGAGGGGACACTGAGGGGACAGTGGGACCTGCAGGGATGGACCCGGAGCGCCCAGAGCTTCGGTGAGGGGACACTGGGGACACTGAGGGGACACTGGGGACATTGGGGTCACTGAGGGGACAATGGGGACAGCTGGGACACTGAGGGGACAATGGGGACAATGGGGACAGCTGGGACCTGCAGGGATGGACCCGGAGCGCCCAGAGCTTTGTGAGGGGACAATGGGGACAATGGGGACAACGAGGGGACACTGGGGACACTGAGGGGGACAATGGGGACACTGAGGGGACACTGAGGGGACAGTGGTACCTGCAGGGATGGACCCGGAGTGCCCAGAGCTTCGGTGAGGGGACAATGGGACACTGAGGGGACAATGGGGACAGTGGGGACACTGAGGGGACAATGGGGACACTGAGGGGACAGTGGGGACAACGGGGACAGTGGGGACAATGAGGGGACAATGGGGACACTGAGGGGACAATGGGGACACTGAGGGGACAATGGGACCTGCAGGGATGGACCCGGAGCGCCCAGAGCTTCGGTGAGGGGACACTGGGGACAATGGGGACAACGAGGGGACAATGGGGACAATGGGACACTGAGGGGACACTGAGGGGACAATGGGGACACTGGGACACTGAGGGGACAATGGGGATACTGAGGGGACAATGGGGACACTGGGACACTGAGGGGACAATGGGGACAGCTGGGACACTGAGGGGGCAGTGGGGACACTGAGGGGACAATGGGGACACTGGGACACTGAGGGGACAGTGGGGACAATGGGGATGCTGAGGGGACAATGGGACCTGCAGGGATGGACCCGGAGCACCCAGAGCTTCGGTGAGGGGACAATGAGGGGACATTGGGGACACTGGGACACTGAGGGGACAATGGGGACACTGAGGGGACAGTGGGGACACTGAGGGGACACTGGGGACAATGGGGACAGCGAGGGGACAATGGGGACAGCTGGGACACTGAGGGGACAATGGGGACACTGAGGGGACAATGGGACCTGCAGGGATGGACCCGGAGCGCCCAGAGCTTCGGTGAGGGGACACTGAGGGGACATTGGGGACACTGAGGGGACAATGGGGACACTGAGGGGACAGTGGGGACAATGGGGACACTGAGGGGACAATGGGGTCACTGAGGGGACAATGGGGACACTGAGGGGACAGTGGGGACACTGAGGGGCAATGGGGACAATGGGGTCACTGAGGGGACAATGGGGACAATGGGGACACTGAGGGGACAATGGGGACACTGAGGGCACACCAGGGACACCTGGGGACAGCCAGAGGGCACTGGGGGGGACATTGGGGACACAAGGGACAAGGGCATGGGGTGACAAAGGGTGGGAGGGGCTGAGGGTGGCAGTGACGGGGGGGGGTGACAATGACACAGGGGGGGTCAGAGGACACAGGGGGGTGACAGTGACACGGGGGGGGTGACAGTGACACGGGGGGGGGTCAGGGAGGGGGTGACAGTGACACGGGGGAGGGGGTGACAGTGACACGGGGGGGGTGACAGTGACACAGGGGGGGTGACAGTGACACGGGGGGGGGGGTGACAGTGACACAGGGGGGGGGTGACAATGACACGGGGGGGGGGGTCAGGTGACCCCGGTGTCCCCTGACCCCCTCCCCCCCCCCCAGGTGCCATCATCTCGGAGCCGCCCCTCCCCCCCTCGCGGAGCCCCCCCCCGCGGCCCCTCCCCCACCGAGCAGGTACGAGGGGGGACATTGGGGGGGTGCCACCCCCACCCTGTGATGTCCCCACCCCTCCCATGATGTCCCCACCCCCCCCGTGATGTCCCCCACCCCCCCTGTGATGTCCCCACCCCCTCTGATGTCCCCACCCCTTCCATGATGTCCCCACCCCCTGTGATTGTCCCCACCTCCCTGTGATGTCCCCACCCCTCCTGTGGTGTCCCCACCCCTTCCATGATGTCCCCACCCCCTGTGATGTCCCCGCCCCCCTGTGATTGTCCCCACCCCTCTGTGATGTCCCCACCCCTTCCATGATGTCCCCACCCCCTGTGATTGTCCCCACCCCCCTGTGATGTCCCCACCCCCCTGTGATGTCCCCACCCCCTGTGATGTCCCCACCCCCCTGTGATGTCCCCACCCCCCCTGTGATTGTCCCCGCCCCTCTGTGGTGTCCCCCACCCCTCCACGATGTCCCCACCCCCCTGTGATGTCCCCACCCCTTCCATGATGTTCCCACCCCCCTGATGTCCCCACCGGTCCCCTGGTGACATTCCAGGGGTGCCACCCCCCTGATGTCCCCACCAGTCCCCTGGTGACATTCTGGCGGTGCCACCCCCTGTGATTGTCCCCACCGGTCCCCTGGTGACATTCCGGGGGTGCCACCCCCCTGTGATTGTCCCCACCGGTCCCCTGGTGACATTCTGGGGGTGCCACCCCCTGTGATTGTCCCCACCGGTCCCCTGGTGACATTCTGGGAGTGCCACCCCCCTGATGTCCCCACCGGTCCCCTGGTGACATTCTGGCGGTGCCACCCCCTGTGATTGTCCCCACCGGTCCCCTGGTGACATTCCGGGGGTGCCACCCCCCTGATGTCCCCACCGGTCCCCTGGTGACATTCTGGCGGTGCCACCCCCCTGTGATTGTCCCCACAGATCCCCTGGTGACATTCTGGGGGTGCCACCCCCTGTGATGTCCCCACCGGTCCCCTGGTGACATTCTGGCGGTGCCACCCCCCTGATGTCCCCACCGGTCCCCTGGTGACATTCTGGGAGTGCCACTCCCCTGTGATTGTCCCCACCGGTCCCCTGGTGACATTCTGGCGGTGCCACCCCCCTGATGTCCCCTCCCTGTCCTGCAGGTTGTCACCGGGGGCCAGGTGACACCGGAGCTGCTCCTGCAGGGCCCCCCCCGGCTGTCACCTCCCCCCCAGCTGTCACCTCCCCCCCGGATGTCACCGCCCCCCCTGGAGCCAGCGGCCACCCCCAGACCCCAGCTGGGTGAGGGGACACGGGGACACGGGGACAGGGGACACGGGAGGGGACACGGGAGGGACACGGGGACACAGGGAGGGGGACACGGGAGGGGACATGGGATGGGGACATGGGGACAGGGAACAGGTGCGGGGACATGGGGACACAGGAGGGGACACGGGGAGGACACGGGGACACAGGGAGGGGACATGGGGACAGGGGAGGGGACACGGGGACAGGGGGACACAGGGAGGGGGGACACGGGGACATGGGGACACGGGGACACAGGGAGGGGGACACAGGGACACGGGGAAGGGACACGGGGAACAGGTGTGGGGACACGGGGACAGGGCAGGGGACACAGGGACAGGGGGACATGGGGACACAGGGAGGGGGGACACGGGGACATGGGGACATGGGGACATGGGAAGGGAGATGGGACGGGAGAGGACACAGGGATGGGGACACAGGAGGGGACATGGGAGGGGGACATGGGGACAGGGGATGGGGACACAAGGAGGGGGACAGGGGGATGGGGACATGGGACAGGGAGACACAGGGAGAGGAGAGGGGAGGGGGACATGGGGACATGGGAGGGGGGACAGGGACAGGGGACAGGGGAGGGGATGGGGGCACGGGGAGGGGACACGGTGGGGGGACACAGGAGGGGACATGGGAGGGGACAGGGACACGGGGGGGGGAGATGTGGGAAGGGACAGGGGAGGGGAGAGGGGAGGGGGACATGGGGACATGGGAGGGGACATGGGGACACAGGGAGGGGGACATGGCGGGGGGACACAGGAAGGGACAGGGACACAGGGAGTGGGACACGGGGGGGACATGGGGACACGGGGAGGGGGACATGGGGACACAGGGAGGGGGGACATGGCGGGGGGACACAGAAGGGGACACAGGAAGGGACAGGGGAGGGGGACAGGGACACAGGGAGGGGGACAGGGACACAGGGAGGGGGACAGGGACACAGGGAGGGGACACAGGGATGGTGACATGGGAGAGGGGATGGGACACAGGGACAGGGGAGGGGACACGGGGATGGGGACAGGGGACACAGGTGGGGGGACATGGGACAGAGGATGGGAACACAGGGACAGGGGAGGGGGACATGGGACAGGGGAGGGGACACAGGGAATGGGGACATGGGGACAGGGGAGGGGGGCATGGGGACATGAGAGAGGACACAGGGAATGGGGACAGGGACAGGGGAGGGGACAGAGGATGGGGACAGGGACAGGGGAGGGGGGCATGGGGACATGAGAGAGGACACAGGGAATGGGGACATGGGGACAGGGGATGGGGACACAGGGAGGGGACAGGAGAGGGGACACTGGGCTGGGGACAAGGGGACAGGGGAGGGGACACGGGGACAGTGACACTGGAGAGGGGATGGGGACATGGGGACAGGGGAGGGGACAGGGACAGGGGACACGGGGATGGTGACACTGGAGAGGGGCTGGGGACATGGGGACAGGGGAGGGGGACAGTGGAGGGGGACAGGGGAGGGGACCCTGGGGCAGTCCCTGACGGGCGTTTGTCCCCAGCCACCAGCCCCGAGAACGGCGTCACCGCTGCCAGGACGTGAGTGGGGACAGGGGGGCACTGTCCCTGTCACCACCCCCTGCTGCCACCCCCCTGTCCCTGTCACCACCCCCCTGTCCCTGTCACCGTCCCCTGCTGCCACCCCCCTGTCCCTGTCACCATCCCCTGCTGCCACCCCTGCCACCCCCTGTCCCTGTCACCACCCCCCTGTCCCTGTCACCACCCCCCCTGCTGCCACCCTCTGTCCCTGTCACCATCCCCTGCTGCCACCCCTGGGACCCCCCTGTCCCTTGTCACCCTCGTACTGTCCCCTGTCCCATGGTGGCACTGTCCCCTGTCCCTGTCCCCTGTCCCAGGGGTGACATTTGGGGCTGTCCCCTATTCCATGGTGACACTGTCCCCTGTCCCTGTCCCCCTGTCCCAGGGTGACATTTGTCCCCTGTCCCCTGTCCCTGTCCCAGGGGTGACACTGTCCCTGTCCCTGTCCCATGGTGACATTTGTCCCCTGTCCCCTATCCCATGGCGACACTGTCCCCTGTCCCAGGGGTGACATTTGGGGGCGGTCCCTGTTCCCTGGTGCCACCTGTCCCCTGTCCCCTGGTGCCATCTGCCCCTGTCCCCTGTCCCTGTCCCCTGGTGCCATTTGTCCCTGTCCCTGTCCCCTGTCCCCCGGTGCCACCTGTCCCTGTCCCCTGGTGCCACCTGTCCCTGTCCCCTGTCCCCTGTCCCTGTCCCCTGGTGCCACCTGTCCCTGTCCCCCGGTGCCATCTGTCCCCTGTCCCTTGTCCCCTGTCCCCTGTCCCTGTCCCCCGGTGCCACCTGTCCCTGTCCCCTGCAGGAGGATCCCCGGCCGTTCCCCCCCGGGAGGAGAAGCTCGTTAAGAAGCTGCTCATTAAACGGTAACGAGGGTCCCTTGTCACCCTGCCCACCCCCCCTGTCCCTTGTCACCTGCCTCCACCCCCCCTGTCCCTTGTCACCCTGTCACCCTGGCCAGGGCCACCTGCAGCCCCTCCTGTCCTGTCCCTTGGCCAGGATGTCCCTGTCCCCCTGTCCTGGGGTCCCCCTGTGCCAGGACCCCCCTGTCACTGTCCCTGTCCCCAGCCTTGTCACTGTCCCTGTCCCCAGCCTTGTCACTCTCCCTTGTCCCCCTTGTCACTGTCCCCAGCCTTGTCACTGTCCCTTGTCCCCACCCTTGTCACTGTCCTTGTCCCTCTTGTCACTGTCCCTTGTCCCTCTTGTCACTGTCCCCCTGTCCCCCACCCTTGTCACTGTCCCTTGTCCCCCTTGTCACTGTCCTTGTCCCCAACCCTCCCCACCCTTCTCACTGTCCCTGTCCCCTGTCCTGGGGTCCCCCTGTCCCTGTCCTCTGTCCTTGAGCCTTGTCCCTGTCCCCAACCATCCCCACCCTTGTCCCCTTGTCCCCCTGAGCCTTGTCCCTGTCCCCCCTGTCCCCCTGTCCCCCACCCTTGTCACTGTCCCTTGTCCCCCTGAGCCTTGTCCCTGTCCCCCTGTCCCCCTGTCCCCCACCCTTGTCCCTGTCCCTTGTCCCCAACCTTCCCCAGCCTTGTCCCCTTGTCCCCCTGAGCCTTGTCCCTGTCCCTGTCTCCCTGTCCCCCTGTCCCCCACCCTTGTCACTGTCCCTTGTCCCCCTGTCCCCCACCCTTGTTCCTGTCCCTTGTCCCCCTGTCCCCCTGTCCCCCACTCTTGTCCCTGTCCCTGTCGCCCTGTCCCCCACCCTTGTCACTGTCCCTTGTCCCCAACCTTCCCCAGCCTTGTCACTGTCCCCTGTCCCCCTGTCCCCCACCCTTGTCACTGTCCCTGTCCCTTTGTCCCCCTGTCCCCCACCCTTGTCACTGTCCCTGTCCCTTTGTCCCCCTGTCCCCCACCCTTGTCACTGTCACTGTCCCTTGTCCCCTTGTCCCCCTGAGCCTTGTCCCTGTCCCTTGTCCCCCTGTCCCCCACCCTTGTCACTGTCCCTGTCCCCCTGTCCCCCACCCTTGTCACTGTCCCTGTCCCCTGTCCCCCTGTACCCCACCCTTGTCACTGTCCCTGTCCCCTGTCCCCCTGTCCCCCACCCTTGTCCCTGTCCCTTGTCCCCAGCCATCCCCAGCCTTGTCCCCTTGTCCCCCTGAGCCTTGTCCCTGTCCCTGTCTCCCTGTCCCCCTGTCCCCCACCCTTGTCCCTGTCCCTGTCTCCCTGTCCCCCCACCCTTGTCCCTGTCCCCCACCCTTGTCCCTGTCCCTTGTCACTGTCCCTTGTCCCCCTGTACCCCACTCTTGTCACTGTCCCTGTCCCCCTGTCCCTGTCCCCCTGTCCCAGCGTTCCCAGGGACCCCCAGGCCTCCATTTCCCACAATCCCCCCTGAGCTTTGGGGTCCCCTGGTGACCCCACTGTCCCCCAGGAGGGGCCCCCAGGGTTTTGGGGTCCCCAGGTGACCTCAGTGTCCCCCAGGAGGGGCCCCCAGGGGTTTTGGGGTGCCCTGGTGACCCCATTTCTCCCCCCAGGGGTTTTGGGGTTCCCAGGGGTTTTTTGGGGTGCCCTGGTGACCCCGTTTATCCCCTCCAGGGGTTTTGGGGTGCCCTGGTGACCCCATTTGTCCCCCCAGGGGTTTTGGGGTTCCCAGGGGTTTTTTTGGGGTGCCCTGGTGACCCCGTTTATCCCCCCAGGGGTTTTGGGGTGCCCTGGTGACCCCGCTGTCCCCCAGGAGGGGCTCCCAGGGGTTTTGGGGCTCCCAGGGGTTTTTTGGGGTGCCCTGGTGACCCCCGTTTGTCCCCCCAGGGGTTTTGGGGCTCCCAGGGGTTTTTTGGGGTGCCCTGGTGACCCCGTTTGTCCCCCCAGGAGGGGCCCCCCCCTCGGTTTGGGGCAGCCCCCCCAGGCTCCCCAAGCAGCCTCGGGTGAGCCTGGAGCGCCTGGAGCTGGACCTGGAGCTGGACCCGGCGCAGCCGCCCGTGTTCCGCATCTTCCCGGGGCCTTCGGCGCAGGAGTTCAGCCTCATCGTCATCGAGCAGGGCGCCCAGGGGACACCGGGGACCGAGGGGACACAGGGGACACCGGGGACAGAAGGGACACAAGGGACAGAAGGGACACAAGGGACAGAAGGGACAGAAGGGACGGGGCAGCCGCACGCAGCTCTCCTGGTCAAGGTGGGTGACTCCAGTGTCCCCTCCCAGTCCCAGTGTCCCCAGTGTCCCCTCCCCACCCTGGTGAATGTCCCCAGTGTCCCCTCCCCAGTGCACACTGTCCCGTCTCAATCCCAGTGTGTGTCCCCAGTGTCCCCTCCCCAGCGCACACTGTCCCCTCCCAGTCCCAGTGTGTGTGTCCCCAGTGTCCCCTCCCAGTCCCAGTGTGTCCCCATTGTCCCCTCCCCACCCGGGTGAGTGTCCCCAGTGTCCCCTCCCCACCCTGGTGAGTGTCCCTTGTGTCCCCTCCAGTCCCCAGTGTCCCCTCCCCATATGGGTGAGTGTCCCCAGTGTCCCCTCCAGTCCCCAGTGTCCCCTTCTCACCCGGGTGAGCGTCCCCAGTGTCCCCTCCCAGTCCCAGTGTCCCCAGTGTCCCCATTGTCCCCTCCCCACCCGGGTGAGTGTCCCCATTGTCCCCTCCCCGTCCCAGTGTCCCCAGTGTCCCCTCCCCACCCTGGTGAATGTCCCCAGTGTCCCCTCCCCAGTGCACACTGTCCCCTCTCAATCCCAGTCCCAGTGTCCCCAGTGTCCCCACTGTCCCCTCCCCATCCGGGTGAGTGACTCCAGTGTCCCCTCCCCACCCTGGTGAGTGTCCCCAGTGTCCCCATCTCCTTTATCCCCATTGTCCCTCCCCATCCTCTGTGTCCCCTCCCCGTCCCAGTGTGTGTCCCCTGTGTCCCCTCCAGTCCCCACTGTCCCCTCCCCACCTGGGTGAGTGTCCCCAGTGTCCCCTCCCCACCCTGGTGAGTGTCCCCAGTGTCCCTCCCCATCCCCCTCCAGTGTCCCCTGTCCCTGTCCCCGTCCCCATCCCTATCCCTGTCCCCATCCCCATCCCTGTCCCCTGTCCCCATCCCTGTCCCTCTCCCTGTCCCCATCCCTGTCCCTGTCCCCATCCCTGTCCCTGTCCCCCATCCCCATCCCTGTTCCCATCTCTGTCCCCATCCCTGTCCCCATCCCTGTTCCCATCTCCGTCCCCATCCCTGTCCCCATCCCTGTCCCCTGTCCCCTGTCCCTGTCCCTGTCCCTGACCGTGTCCCCCCCAGCAGGAGGAGCAGCAGGAGTCGCCCATCGGTGACGCCGGTGACATCGGGGACACCAAACCCGTGGGGCTGCTGCCCCCTCCCCCGGGGGACCCAGGCCCTGCCCCGGGGCTCTCGGGGGTCCCCGTGGGTGTCCCCGTGGGTGTCCCCATGGGTGTCCCCGTGGGTGTCCCCGGGGGTGTCCCCATGGGTGTCCCCGGGGGGGTCTCGTGCTGCCGCGTGTGCGGCCAGGCCGGGGCCGTGGTGATGTGTGACCGCTGCCAGCGCTGCTTCCACCTGCACTGCCACCTGCCCGCCCTGCGCGACGTGCCCAGGTACGGCTGGCATCCAATGGGAACCAATGGGAACCAATGGGAACCAATGGGATCCTCTGGGATCCGCTGTCCTGTGTCTGTCACCTCCCTGGGATCCCCTGCCCTGTGTCACCCTCCTAGGCCTGGGATCCCCTGCCCTGTGTCACCCTCCTAGGCCTGGGATCTACTGCCCCATGTCACCCACTGGTCACCCCCCAATGTCCCTGGGATCCACTGCCCAGTGTCACCTCCCTGAGTTTCCCAATGTCCCCGGGATCCCCTGCCCCGTGTCACCCCCCCAGTGTCCCTGGGATCCACTGCCCTGTGTCACCCCCTGAGCCCCCAATGTCCCTGGGATCCCCCTGCCCTGTGTCACCTCCCTAGGCCTGGGATCCACTGCCCCGTGTCAGCCCCCAATGTCCCTGGGATCCACTGCCCCGTGTCACCCCCAATGGCCCCAGGATCCCCTGCCCCATGTCACCTCCCTGAGTTCCCCAGTGCCCCTGGGATCCATTGCCCCTGTGTCACCCCCTGAGTCCCCCCGGTGTCCCCAGGATCCCCTGCCCCGTGTCACCTCCTAGGCCTGGGATCCACTGTCCTGTGTCACCCCTCAATGTCCCCCAATGTCCCCAGGATCCCCTGCCCCGTGTCACCCACTGGTCACCCCCCAGTGTCCCCAGGATCCCCTGCCCCGTGTCACCCCCCTGAGTCCCCCCGTGTCCCCAGGATCCCCTGTCCCGTGTCACCCCCTGGGATCCCCTGCCCCGTGTCACCCCCCAATGTCCCTGGGATCCCCTGCCCCGTGTCACCCCCCAATGTCCCCCAGTGTCCCCAGGATCCCCTGCCCCGTGTCACCCACTGGTCACCCCCCAGTGTCCCTGGGATCCCCTGCCCCGTGTCACCCCCTGAGTCCCCCCAATGTCCCCAGGATCCACTGCCCCGTGTCACCTCCCTGAGTTCCCCAATGTCCCTGGGATCCACTGTCCTGTGTCACCCCTCAATGGCCCCCAATGTCCCTGGGATCCACTGCCCTGTGTCACCCCCTGAGTTCCCCAGTGTCCCCAGGATCCCCTGCCCTGTGTCACCTCCTAGGCCTGGGATCCCTTGCCCCGTGTCACCCCCCAGTGTCCCCCAATGTCCCCAGGATCCCCTGTCCCATATCACCTCCCTGAGTCCCCCAGTGTCCCCAGGATCCCCTGCCCCGTGTCACCCCCCAATGTCCCCCAATGTCCCTGGGATCCACTGTCCCTGTGTCACCCACTGGGTTCCCCAATGTCCCTGGGATCCACTGTCCCGTGTCACCCCCTGGGATCCCCTGCCCTGATCCCCCATGACCCCATTCCCGATCCCAAGCCCGTGGGGATCCCTGTTCCCAATCCCAGCCCCATGGGGATCCCCCATTCCCAATCCCCCATTCCCGTTCCCCATTCCCGATCCCCCCATTCCCAATCCCCCGTTCCCAATCCCCCATTCCTGATCCCCCATTCCCGATCCCCCATTCCTGATCTTCCCTTCCTGATCCCCCATTCCTGATCCCCCATTCCTGATCCCCCATTCCCGTTCCCCGTTCCCGATCCCCCATTCCCAATCCCCCGTTCCCAATCCCCCATTCCCAATCCCCCATTCCCAATCCCCCATTCCCGATCCCCATTCCCGATCCCCCATTCCCGATCCCCATTCCCAATCCCCCATTCCCAATCCCCCATTCCCGATCCCCGTTCCCGATCCCCCGTTCCCGATCCCCCGTTCCCGATCCCTGTTCCCAATCCCCCATTCCTGATCCCCCATTCCTGATCCCCATTCCCGATCCCCGATCCCCCATTCCCGATCCCCCATTCCTGATCCCCATTCCCGATCCCCGATCCCCCATTCCCGATCCCCCATTCCCGATCCCTGTTCCCAATCCCCCGTTCCCGATCCCCATTCCCAATCCCCGTTCCCCATCCCCATTCCTGATCCCCATTCCCAATCCCCCATTCCCGATCCCCATTCCCAATCCCCGTTCCCCATCCCCATTCCTGATCCCCATTCCCGATCCCCATTCCCGATCCCCATTCCCGATCCCCCATTCCCGATCCCCGTTCCCGATCCCTGTTCCTGATCCCCCATTCCCAATCCCCCATTCTTGATCCCCCATTCCCGATCCCCGTTCCCGATCCCCCATTCCCGTTCCCCGTTCCCGATCCCCATTCCCGATCCCCGATCCCCGTTCCTGATCCCATTCCCGATCCCACAGCCCCGAGTGGATCTGTTTGCTGTGCCAGGAGCTGCCCCCTCCCCTGCCCGAGCCGGACCCGGATCCGGAGCAGGGCCCCCCGCAGAAACTGAGCCCCCAGGACCAGCAGGTGAGGCCGGGCCCATCCCACCGGGACCATCCCGATCCCACTGGGCTGATCCCGATCCCTCTGGGCTGATCCCGATCCCACTGGGCCCATCCCGATCCCACCGGGACCATCCTGATCCCACTGGGCTGATCCTGATCCCACTGGGGCCATCCTGATCCCACTGGGGCCATCCTGATCCCACTGTGCCCATCCTGATCCCACTGGGGCCATCCCGATCCCTCTGGGCCGATCCTGATCCCGCTGGGCTGATCCTGATCCCACTGGGCCCATCCCACCGGGACCATCCCGATCCCACTGGGCCCATCCTGATCCCTCTGGGCTGATCCCGATCCCACCGGGACCATCCCGATCCCACTGGGCCGATCCCGATCCCTCTGGGCCCATCCTGATCCCACTGGGCCGATCCTGATCCCAATGGGCCCATCCTGATCCCACTGGGCCCATCCTGATCCCACTGGGCTGATCCTGATCCCACTGGGCCCATCCTGATCCCACTGTGCCCATCCTGATCCCACCGGGACCATCCTGATCCCACTGGGCTGATCCTGATCCTACTGGGCCCATCCTGATCCCACTGGGCTGATCCTGATCCTACTGGGCCCATCCCGATCCCACTGGGCTGATCCCGATCCCTCTGGGCCCATCCTGATCCCTCTGGGCTGATCCTGATCCCACTGGGCCCATCCTGATCCCTCTGGGCCGATCCCGATCCCTCTGGGCCGATCCCGATCCCACTGAGCCCATCCTGATCCCACTGGGCCGATCCCGATCCCAATGGGCTGATCCTGATCCCTCTGGGCCCATCCTGATCCCTCTGGGCTGATCCTGATCCCACCGGGCCCATCCCGATCCCGCTGGGCCGATCCTGATCCCACTGGGCCCATCCTGATCCCAATGGGCCCATCCTGATCCCACTGGGCCGATCCCGATCCCACCGGGACCATCCCGATCCCACTGGGCCCATCCTGATCCCAATGGGCTGATCCTGATCCCATTGGGCCCATCCTGATCCCTCTTGGCCCATCCTGATCCCACTGGGCCCATCCCGATCCCTCTGGGCCGATCCTGATCCCGCTGGGCTGATCCTGATCCCACTGGGCCCATCCTGATCCCACTGTGCCCATCCTGATCCCACTGGGCTGATCCTGATCCCACTGGGCCCATCCTGATCCCACTGGGCTGATCCTGATCCCACTGGGCCCATCCTGATCCCACTGGGCCCATCCTGATCCCACTGGGCCCATCCCGATCCCACTGGGCCCATCCTGATCCCACTGGGCCCACCCTGATCCCTCTGGGCCCATCCTGATCCCACCGGGCCGATCCCGATCCCTCTGGGCCGATCCCACTGGGCCCATCCTGATCCCACTGGGCCCATCCTGATCGATCCCACTGGGACCATCCCGATCCCACTGGGCCGATCCCGATCCCGCTGGGCCCATCCCGATCCCACTGGGCCGATCCCGGTCCCCCTGGGCCGATCCCGATCCCACTGGGCCGATCCCGATCCCACTGGGCCCATCCCGATCCCACTGGGCCCATCCTGATCCCACTGGGGCCATCCCGATCCCACTGGGCCCATCCTGATCCCACTGGGCCGATCCTGATCCCACTGGGCCCATCCTGATCCCTCTGGGCTGATCCCGTTCCCACTGGGCCAATCCCGATCCCACCGGGACCATCCTGATCCCTCTTGGCCCATCCCGATCCCGCTGGGCCAATCCTGATCCCACTGGGCCAATCCCAGGGTGTCCCATTGGGCCGATCCCTCTGGGCTGATCCCTCTGGGCCGATCCCGGGGGATCCCCTGGGATCTCCTCCCTCGGGATGCCAACCCCAACCCCGATCCCGCAGCGCTGCGAGTTTGTGCTGCTGGAGCTGCTGTGCCACGAGCCCTGCCGGCCCCTGCAGCGCCTCTGCAGCAACCTGGTGAGCACGGGGGGGATCTGGGGGGATCTGAGGGGGATCTGAGGGGATCTGGGGGGATCTGAGGGGGATTCTGGGGTGGGATCTGGGTGGATCTGTGGGGGATCAGCTCCTCAGTGAGCCCGGGGGGGAAATTGAGGAAATCTGGGGGGAACTGGGGGTGGGACTGGGAGGGGATTGGGGGAGGGATTGGGGGAGGGATCTGGGGGGGATTGGGGGAAGATGGGGAGGGGATCAAGGTGGGATCTGTGGGGGATCAGCTCCCCGGTGAGCCAGGGGGGGAAATTGAGGGAATCTGGGGGGATCTGGGGGGATCAGGGGTGGGATCTGTGGGGGATCAGCTCCCCGGTGAGCCCGGGGGGGAAATTGGGGGGATCTGGGGTGGGACTGGGAGGGGATCTGGGGGGATTGAGGGAAGATGGGGAGGGGATCAAGGGTGGGATGTGTGGGGGATCAGCTCCTCAGTGAGCCCGGGGGGGAAATTGGGGGGGATCTGGGGGGATCTGGGGGGAACTGGGGGAATCTGGGGATCAAGGGTGGGATGTGTGGGGGATCAGCTCCCCAGTGAGCCTGGTGGGGAAACTGGGGGAATCTGAGGGGATCTGGGGGCATTGGGGGATCAGGGGTGGGATGTGTGGGGGATCAGCTCCCCGGTGAGCCCGGGGGGGAAATTGGGGGGACTGGGGAGATCTGTGGGGATTGGGGGGGGATCTGAGGGGATTGGGGGTGGGATCAGCTCCCCGGTGAGTGGAGGGAGCCCAGTGGGGATCGAGGGGGATCTGGAGGGGATCAGGGATGGGATTTGGGGGCTGGGATCAAGGGGGATCAGGGGTGGGATCAAGGGGGATCAGGGGTGGGATTTGAGGGGGATCAGCTCCCTGGGGAGCGGGCGAGTGGATCAGGGGAGATGGGGGGGGATCAGGGGGGTTCTGGCGGGCATTGGGGGGATTGGGGGTGGGAATGGGGATGGGATCTGAGGGGGGGATCAAGGTGGGATCTGTGGGGGATCAGCTCCCCAGTGAGCCCGGGGGGGGAAATTGGGGGGATCTGGGGTGGGACTGGGAGGGGATCGGGGGGGAGGGATTGGGGGAGGGATCTGGGGGAAGATGGGGAGGGGATCAAGGTGGGATCTGTGGGGGATCAGGGCAGATGGGGGGATCAGGGGGGTTCTGGGGGGGATCAGGGGTGGGAATGGGGGTGGGATCTGAGGGGGGGATCAGGGGTGGGATCAGATCCCCAGTGAACAGCAGGAGCAGATCGGGGGGATCTGGGGTGAGATCTGGGGGGATCAGGGGTGGGATCAGGATCAGGGGGTGGAATCACAGGTGGGATCAGCCCCGTTTGGGATCATGGGTGGGATCTGCCCTGTTTGAGATCCAGGGGTGGGATCATGGATGGGATCAGCCCTGTTTGGGATCAGGGGTGGGAACTGCCCCGTTTTGTGTCATGGTTGGGATCCTGGTTGGGATCACGGTTGGGATCCAGGGGTTGGGATCTTGGTTGGGATCTTGGTTGGGATCAGCCCTATTTGGTGTCATGGTTGGGATCTTGGTTGGGATTTTGGTTGGGATCAGCCCCGTTTGGGATCATGGTTGGGATCATGGTTGGGATCAGCCCTGTTTGGGATCATGGTTGGGATCAGCCCCGTTTGGCATCACGGTTGGGATCATGGTTGGGATCACGGCTGGAATCAGCCCCGTTTGGGGTCATGGTTGGGATCCTGGTTGGGATCAGCCCCGTTTGGGATCATGGTTGGGATCATGGTTGGGATCACAGTTGGGATCCTGGTTGGGATCATGGTTGGGATCATGGTTGGGATCAGCCCTATTTGGGATCATGGTTGGGATCTTGGTTGGGATTTTGGTTGGGATCAGCCCCGTTTGGTGTCATGGTTGGGATCATGGTTGGGATCATGGTTGGGATCACGGTTGGGATCAGCCCTGTTTGGTGTCATGGTTGGGATCTTGGTTGGGATCATAGTTGGGATCAGCCCCGTTTGGGATCAGGGTTGGGATCACGGTTGGGATCACGATTGGGATCAGCCCCGTTTGGGGTCATGGTTGGGATCCTGGTTGGGATTTTGGTTGGGATCAGCCCCGTTTGGGATCATGGTTGGGATCATGGTTGGGATCAGCCCTGTTTGGGATCATGGTTGGGATCACAGTTGGGATCAGCCCCATTTGGTGTCATGGTTGGGATCCTGGTTGGGATCATGGTTGGGATCAGCCCCGTTTGGGATCACGGTTGGGATCACGGTTGGGATCTGCCTTATTTGGGATCCTGGTTGGGATCACGGTTTGGATCAGCCCCATTTGGGATCCTGGTTGGGATTTTGGTTGGGATCAGCCCCATTTGGGATCCTGGTTGGGATCACGGTTGGGATCAGCCCTATTTGGTGTCATGGTTGGGATCATGGTTGGGATCCTGGTTGGGATTTTGGTTGGAATCAGCCCCATTTGGCATCACTCCCCCCTTCCCACCCTCAGGAGGGCGCTGACGCCATGGACCTGACGCTGATGCGGGCGCGGCTGCAGGAGAAGCTGAGCCCCCACTACCGCAGCCCCGAGGAGTTTGCCCGCGACGGGTGGCGCCTGCTGCGCCAGTTCCACCGCCTCACCGAGGTCTGCCCGGCCCTTGGGGGGCTCCTCTCGCCTTCCTGGGGAGGTTTTTGGGGGTTCCAGCCCCTCTGGAATTCCCATTTTTCCCCCCTCAGGACAAGGCGGACGTCCAGTCCATCCTGGAGCTGCAGCGTTTCCTCGAGAGCCGCCTCAGCGCCGTCTTCGGCGACCAGAAATTCTCCAGGCTCCTGCTGGACGCTGAGGAAGCGCCGGAGGCGTCCCCAGGCTCCTGATGGACCCTGCTGGGGGGGAAAACCCTCCCAGCACCCCCAGTTCCACTCCCAGCACCCCCAGTTCCACTCTTAGGACCCCAATTTCCACTCCCAGCACCCCAATTTCCACTCCCAGCAAACCAAATTCACCTCCCAGCACCCCAAATTCACCTCCCAGCACCCCCAGTTCCACTCCCAGCACCCCAATTTCCACTCCCAGCACCCCCAGTTCCACTCCCAGCACCCCAATTTCCCCTCTCAGCACCCAAATTTCCTCTCCCAGCACCCCCAGTTCCACTCCCAGCACCCCAATTTCCACTCCCAGCACCCCAAATTCACCCCCCAGCACCCCCAGTTCCACTCACAGCACCCCAATTTCCCCTCACAGAACCCAAATTTTCCCCCAAAGGACCCCAATTTTCCCCTCCCAGCACCCCAATTTCCACTCCCAGCACCCCAAGTTCCACTCCCAGCACCCCAAATTCCACTCCCAGCACCCCAAGTTCCACTCACAGGACCCAAATTTCCACTCCCAGCACCCCCAGTTCCACTCCCAGCACCCCAATTTCCACTCCCAGCACCCCAATTTTCCCTTCCCGGGACACCAATTTCCCTTCCTGGGACACCAATTTCCCCTCAAAGGACCCAAATTTCTCCTCACAGGGCCCCAATTTCCCCTCCCGGCACCCCAATTTCCACTCCCAGCACCCCCAGTTCCACTCCCAGCACCCCAAGTTCCACTCCCAGCACCCCCAGTTCCACTCCCAGCACCCCCAGTTCCACTCTTAGGACCCCAAGTTCCACTCCCAGCACCCCCAGTTCCACTCCCAGCACCCCAAATTCACCTCCCAGCACCCCCAGTTCCACTCCCAGCACCCCAGTTCCACTCACAGCACCCCCAGTTCCACTCACAGAACCCAAATTTCCTCTCCCAGCACCCCCAGTTCCACTCCCAGCACCCCCAGTTCACCTCCCAGCACCCCAAATTCACCTCCCAGCACCCCCAGTTCCACTCACAGCACCCAAATTTCCTCTCCCAGCACCCCAATTTCCCCTCACAGGATCCAAATTTCCCTTCCTGGGACGCCAATTTCCCCTCAAAAGACCCAAATTTCTCCTCCCAGCACCCAAATTTCCACTCCCAGCACCCAAATTTTCCCCTCCTAGCACCGAAATTTCCCCTCTCAGCACCCAAATTTCCTCTCCCAGTACCCAAATTTCCACTCCCAGCACCCAAATTTCCCCTCACAGGACCCCAAATTTCCACTCCCAGCACCCAAATTTCCTCTCCCAGGACCCAAATTTCCTCTCCCAGCACCCAAATTTTCTCTCCCAGCACCCCAAATTTCCCTTCCCAGAACCCAAATTTCCCCTCCCAGGACCCCAATTTCCCCTCAAAGGACCCAAATTTCCCCTCTCGGCACCCAAATTTCCCCTCCCAGCACCCAAATTTCCCTTCCCAGGACCCCAGTTTCCCCTCACAGGACCCAAATTCCCCCCAAAGGACCCCAAATTTACCTTCCCAACAGCCAAATTTCCCCTCACAGCACCCAAATTTTCCCCTCCCAGCACCCAAATTTCCTCTCTCAGCACCCAAATTTCCTCTTCCAGCACCCAAATTTCCCCTCCTAGCTCCCCAATTTCTCCTCTCAGGACCCAAATTTCTCCTCACAGCACCCCCAGTTCCACTCCCAGCACCCCCAGTTCCACTCACAGGACCCCAAATTCCCCTCCCAGCACCCAAATTTCCACTCCCAGCATCCCAAATTTCCTCTCCCAGCACCCCCAGTTCCACTCCCAGCACCCCAAATTCACCTCCCAGCACCCAAGTTCCACTCCCAGCACCCCAAATTCACCTCCCAGAACCCCAAGTTCCACTCCCAGCACCCCAAGTTCCACCCACAGAACCCCAATTTCCACTCCCAGCACCCCAATTTCCCCTCCCAGCACCCAAATTTCCCCCCACAGGACCCCAAATTTCCCCTCCCAGGACCCCAGTTTCCCCTCCCAGCACCCAAATTTCCCCTCCCAGCACCCCAATTTCCCCTCCCAGCACCCAAATTTCCCCTCCCAGGACCCCAATTTCCCCCCACAAGTTCGGGTTCCCCCCCAGAGCCCCCCGGGATGTGGGGGTGTCCCTGTGCCCCCCTTAGCCTGGGCTCATGAATTAAAATAAAGCTCTGGGAGGGTTTTAAAGCTTCATCTCTTGGGTTCTGCCTCATTTCTGGGCTGGATTTGACCTGGATTTCCTGAATTTGCCCCATTTCTGGGCTTGGATTTCCTGGATTCTCCCCAATTTCTGTGCTTGATGATTTAACCTGGATTTCCTGGAATTCCCCCCATTTCTGTGCTTTGATTTCCTGGAATTTTCCCCCATTTCTGTGCTTTGATTTCCCGGATTTTGCCCAATTTCAGGGCTTGGATTTCCAGGATTCTCCCTCATTTCTGTGCTTGGATTTTCTGGGTTCTCCCTCAATTCTGTGCTTGGATTTCCTGGAATTTCCCTCATTTCTGTGCTTGGATTTCCTGGATTCTCCCCAATTTCTGTGCTTGATTTAACCTGGAATTTCCCCAATTTCTGGGCTTCTGTTTCCTGAATTCCTCCCCCATTTCTGTGCTTGGATTTCCTGGATTTTGCCCAATTTCAGGGCTTGGATTTCCAGGATTCTGCCTCATTTCTGGGCTTCTGTTTCCTGAATTCTTCCCCCATTTTGGGGCTTGGGTTTCTTGGATTCTGCCCCATTTCAGGGCTTGGATTTCCTGGGTTCTCCCTCGTTTCAGGGCTTGGATTTCCTAGAATCTCCCTCATTTTAGTGTTTTGGATTTCCTGGATTGTCCCCAATTTCTGTGCTTGGATTTCCTGGAATTTTCCCCATTTCTGTGCTTGGATTTCCTGGATTTTGCCCAATTTCTGTGCTTGGATTTCCAGGATTCTCCCTCATTTCTGGGCTTCTGTTTCCCGAATTCCTCCCCCATTTTGGGGCTTGGATTTCTTGGATTCTGCCCCATTTCAGGGCTTGGATTTCCTGGGTTCTCCCTCGTTTCAGGGCTTGGATTTCCTAGAATCTCCCTCATTTTAGTGTTTTGGATTTCCTGGATTGTCCCCAATTTCTGTGCTTGGATTTCCTGGAATTTTCCCCATTTCTGTGCTTGGATTTTGCCCAATTTCAGGGCTTGGATTTCCAGGATTCTCCCTCATTTCTGGGCTTCTGTTTCCTGAATTCTTCCCCCATTTTGGGGCTTGGGTTTCTTGGATTCTGCCCCATTTGAGGGCTTGGATTTCCTGGGTTCTCCCTCGTTTCAGGGCTTGGATTTCCTAGAATTCCCCCCATTTCTGTGCTTGGATTTCCTGAATTCTCCTCAGTTTCTGTGCTTGGATTTCCTAGAATTCCCCTCATTTCTGTGCTTGGATTTCCTGAATTCTCCTCGGTTTTTGTGCTTGGATTTCCGGGGTTCTCAACCTATTTCTGTGCTTGGATTTCCTAGAATTCCCCTCATTTCTGTGCTTGGATTTCCTGAATTCTCCTCAGTTTTTGTGCTTGGATTTCCTGCGTTCTCCCTCATTTCTGTGCTTGGATTTCCTGCGTTCTCCCTCATTTCTGTGCTTGGATTTCCTGAATTCTCCTCAGTTTTTGTGCTTGGATTTCCTGGGTTCTCCCTCAATTCTGTGTCTGTATTCCTGAATTCTCAACCCATTTCTGTGCTTGGATTTCCTGGAATTTCCCTCATTTCTGTGCCTGTATTTCCTGAATTCTCAACCCATTTCTGTGCTTGGATTTCCTGGATTCTCCCTCATTTCTGGTCGGAATTTCCAGGGTTCTCCCTCATTTTCGGGCTGGATCCAACCCCCTCTGCCTGAACTGGGGCTGGCAGCGCTGGGAGGGGAAACTGGTCCCAGTTCACCCCCGGGCCAGCAAAGATGGCGGCGCCCATGAGCAACATGGCGGCGCCCAATGGGTTAAAGGGCCCCAAGCCCCGCCCCCGAGGCAGGATTGGCTGGTGGCAGCCGGGGAGAGCCGAAGTGCTCCGGAAAGAGCCGAGGGAGAGAGAAACGAGATCGGCGCTTTTCGGAGCGCTTCGCCCCGCCCCCTTTTCCGGAAGAACCCGAAGCGTTCCGGAAAGAGCCGAGGGGAGGAGATCGGCGCTTTTCGGAGCGCTTCGCCCCGCCCCCTTTTCCGGAAATATCCGAAGCGTTCCGGAAAGAGCCGAGCATGAAGCGCGGGAAACAGAAACGAAGCGGCTGCCGGAAAGAGCCGAGGGGCGGAGATCGGCGCTTTTCGGAGCGCCTCGCCCCGCCCCCTTTTCCGGAAGAAGCCGAAGTGCTCCGGAAAGAGCCGAAGAGGGGTCGAAGCGCCGGAACGAGTCGATCTCCTTCCGGAAGAAGCCGAAGCGCCCTCGGGCCCGCCGGAATCTTTCCAGAAAGTGCTGAGGGGCCCCTCCCCTCCCTTCCGGAGACCTCCGAGCTCCGAGTCCCATTCCGGAGACCCCCGAGCCCCTCCCCTCCCCCGCCTTTTCCGGAGATCCCCGAAGCGGTTCCGGAGTTCCCGGAAGCGGCTCCCGAGCGGCGCCGGCGGAGCCCGAGGCCGTTCCGCCGCCCCCGAAACGGTTCCGAAGCGGGTCCGGAAAGTCCCAGGCGACTCCGGAGTTTGCCGAGAGATTCCGAAGCCCTGCGGAGGTTCTCGAAGCGATTCCAGAGACCCGCGAAGAGGCCCCGGAGATCGCCCAGAGGTTCCGAAGCGGTCCCGGAGAATCCCGAACCTCCTCCCCCCTTTCCGGAAGGTTCCGAGCGGCTCCGGACATCGCTGAGACCGTTCCGCAAAGCCCCGAAACGGTTCCGAAGCGGTTCCGGAGATCCCCGAGGCGGTTCCGGAAGTCGCCAAGCACCTCCGGAGCTTCCCGAAGCGCTTCCGGAAACTCCCGAAGTCGTACCGAAGCAATTCCGGAGCTTCACGAAGAGATCCCGGAAGTTGCCGAAGCGTTTCCGGAGAGTCCCGAGCGGCTCCGGAAGTTGCCGAGCGGCTCCGGAAGTTGCCGAGCCGGCTGGCCCTCAGCGTTCGCCCCCGGCCCCCGTCGCCCCCGGAGTCCCCGAACCGGAGCCGCCCCCGGCCCGGCCCCGCTCCCTCGGCCCCGGGGGGGGCCCGGACCCGCCCCGGCCCCGCCGCCCCGGCCCGGCAGGATGATCAAGCTGTTCTCGCTGAAGCAGCAGAAGAAGGAGGAGGAATCGGCGGGCGGCACCAAGAGCTCCAGCAAAAAGGCCTCGGCCGCGCAGCTCCGCATCCAGAAAGGTCTGGGGGGAGGCGGCGGGCACGAACTGGGCCACTAAGGGTCCCAAAGTGGGGCCAGTAAAGGCCTCAAACTGGGGCCAGTAATGGCATTAAACTGGGACCAGTAATGGCTTTAAACTGGGGCCAGTAAGGGTCCCAAACTGGGGCCAGTAAGGGTCCCAAACTGGGGCCAGTAGGGGTCCCAAACTGGGGCCAGTAGGGGTCCCAAACTGGGGCCAGTAAAAGCTGGAAACTGGGGCCAGTAAGGGCCTCGAGCTGGGGCCAGTAAGGGCCTCGAACTGGGGCCAGTAAAGGCCTCAAACTGGGCCCAGTAAGGGCCACAAATGTGGGCCAGTCAGGGCCTCAAACTGGGCCCAGTAAAGGCCTCAAACTGGGGCCAGTAAGGGCCTTGAACTAGAACCAGTCAGGGCCACACACTGGGGCCAGTAACGGTCACAGCCTGGGCTCAGCAGGGCCTCAGACCGGGCCCAGTAAGGGCCTCAAACTGGGCCTGGTACTGGCCTTGAACTGGGCCCAGTAACGGTTGCAGACTGGGCAGAGCAGGGCCTCAAACTGGGGCCAGTAAGGGCAGCACACTGGGACCAGTAATAGCCTCAAACTGGGGCCAGTAAGGGTCCCAAACAGGGGCCAGTAAAGGCCTCAAACTGGGCCCAGTAAAGATCTCAAACTGGGCCCAGTAAGGGCCTCGAACTAGAACCAGTCAGGGCCACCCACTGGGGCCAGTAACGGTCACAGCCTGGGCTCAGCAGGGCCTCAGACCGGGGCCAGTAAGGGCCTCGTACTGGGGCCAGTAAAGGTTTCAAACTGGGGCCAGTAAAGGCCTCAAACTGGGGCCAGTAAGGGCCTCATACTGGGGCCAGTAAAGGCCCCAAACTGGGGCCAGTGAAGGTCTCAAACTGGGGCCAGTAAGGGCCTCATACTGGGGCCAGTAAAGGCCTCATACTGGGGCCAGTAAAGGCCCCAAACTGGGGCCAGTGAAGGTCTCAAACTGGGGCCAGTAAGGGCCTCAAACTGGGGCCAGTGAAGGTCTCAAACTGGGGCCAGTAAGGGCCTCAAACTGGGACCAGTAAGGGCCCCAAACTGGGCCCAGTAAGGGCCTCAAACTGGGACCAGTAACGGTCTCAAACTGGGGCCAGTAAGGGCCTCATACTCGGCCCAGTAAAGGCCTCAAACTGGGGCCAGTAAGGGTCCCAGACTGAGCCCAGTAAGGGCCTCGAACTAGAACCAGTCAGGGCCACCCACTGGGGCCAGTAACAGTCACAGACTGGGCTCAGCAGGGCCTCAGACTGGGCCTGGTAAGGGCCTCAAACTGGGCCCAGTGGGGGCCATAAACTGGGTCCAGTAACGGTTGCAGACTGGGCACAGCAGGGCCTCATACTGGGGTCATTAAGGGCAGCACACTGGGACCAGTAATGGCCTCAAACTGGGGCCAGTAAAGGCCTCAAACTGGGGCCAGTAAGGGCCTCGAGCTGGGCCCAGTAAAGGCCTCAAACTGGGACCAGTAATAGCCTCAAACTGGGGCCAGTAAGGGTCCCAAACTGGGGCCAGTAGGGGCCATAAACTGGGGCCAGTAACGGTTGCAGACGGGGCAGAGCAGGGCCTCAGACTGGGGCCAGTAAGGGTCGCAAACTGGGGCCAATAAAGGCCTCATACTGGGCCCAGTAAAGGCCTCAAACTGGGGCCAGTAAGGGTCCCAAACAGGGGCCAGTAAAGGCCTCAAACTGGGCCCAGTAAAGATCTCAAACTGGGCCCAGTAAGGGCCTCGAACTAGAACCAGTCAGGGCCACCCACTGGGGCCAGTAACGGTCACAGCCTGGGCTCAGCAGGGCCTCAGACCAGGCCCAGTAAGGGCCTCAAACTGGGCCCAGTGGGGGCCATAAACTGGGTCCAGTAACGGTTGCAGACGGGGCAGAGCAGGGCCTCAGACTGGGGCCAGTAAGGGTCGCAAACTGGGGCCAGTAAAGGCCTCATACTGGGGCCAGTAAGGGTCCCAAACAGGGGCCAGTAAAGGCCTCAAACTGGGCCCAGTAAAGATCTCAAACTGGGCCCAGTAAGGGCCTCGAACTAGAACCAGTCAGGGCCACCCACTGGGGCCAGTAACGGTCACAGCCTGGGCTCAGCAGGGCCTCAGACCGGGCCCAGTAAGGGCCTCAAACTGGGCCTGGTACTGGCCTTGAACCGGGCCCAGTAACGGTTGCAGACTGGGCACAGCAGGGCCTCAGACTGGGGTCATTAAGGGCAGCACATTGGGACCAGTAAAGGCCTCAAACTGGGGCCAGTAAGGGCCATAAACTGGGGCCAGTAATGGTCGCAGGCTGGGCCCAGTAAAGGCCTCAAACTGGGGCCAGTAAAGGCCTCAAACTGGGGCCAGTAAGGGCCTCAAACTGGGGCCAGTAGGGGCCATAAACTGGGTCCAGTAATGGTTGCAGACGGGGCAGAGCAGGGCCTCAGACTGGGGCCAGTAAGGGTCGCAAACTGGGGCCAGTAATGGTCCCAAACTGGGGCCAGTAAGGGCCTCATACTGGGGCCAGTAAAGGCCTTAAACTGGGCCAGTAAGGGTCCCAAACTGGGCCCAGTAAACGCCTCAAACTGGGGCCAGTAAGGGTCCCAAACTGGGGCCAGTAAGGGCAGCACACTGGGGCCAGTAAGGCCAGTAAAGGCCTCAAACTGGGGCCAGTAAGGGCCTCAAACTGGGGCCAGTAGGGGCCATAAACTGGGTCCAGTAATGGTTGCAGACGGGGCAGAGCAGGGCCTCAGACTGGGGCCAGTAAGGGTCGCAAACTGGGGCCAGTAATGGTCCCAAACTGGGGCCAGTAAGGGCCTCATACTGGGGCCAGTAAAGGCCTTAAACTGGGCCAGTAAGGGTCCCAAACTGGGCCCAGTAAACGCCTCAAACTGGGGCCAGTAAGGGTCCCAAACTGGGGCCAGTAAGGGCAGCACACTGGGGCCAGTAAGGCCAGTAAAGGCCTCAAACTGGGGCCAGTAAGGGCCTCAAACTGGGGCCAGTAGGGGCCATAAACTGGGTCCAGTAATGGTTGCAGACGGGGCAGAGCAGGGCCTCAGACTGGGGCCAGTAAGGGTCGCAAACTGGGGCCAGTAATGGTCCCAAACTGGGGCCAGTAAGGGCCTCATACTGGGGCCAGTAAAGGCCTTAAACTGGGCCAGTAAGGGTCCCAAACTGGGCCCAGTAAACGCCTCAAACTGGGGCCAGTAAGGGTCCCAAACTGGGGCCAGTAAGGGCAGCACACTGGGGCCAGTAAGGCCAGTAAAGGCCTCAAACTGGGGCCAGTAAAGGCCTCGAACTGGGGCCAGTAAGGGCCTCAAACTGGGCCCAGTAATGGCTTTAAACTGGGGCCAGTAGGGGTTCCAAACTGGGGCCAGTAAAAGCTGGAAACTGGGGCCAGTAAGGGCCTCGAGCTGGGGCCAGTAAGGGCCACAAATTTGGGCCAGTCAGGGCCTCAAACTGGGACCAGTAAAGGTCTCAAACTGGGCCCAGTAAGGGCCTCGAACTAGAACCAGTCAGGGCCACCACTGGGGCCAGTAACGGTCACAGACTGGGCTCAGCAGGGCCTCAAACTGGGCCCAGTAACGGTTGCAGACTGGGCACAGCAGGGCCTCAAACTGGGGCCAGTAAAGGCCTCAAACTGGAACCAGTAAGGGCCTCATACTGGGGCCAATAAAGGTCTCAAACTGGGGCCAGTAAGGGCCTCATACTGGGGCCAGCAGGGCCTCATACTGGTCCCAGTAAGGGCCTCATACTGGGGCCAGTAAGGGCCTCATACTGGGCCCAGTAAAGGCCTCAAACTGGGGCCAGTAAAGGTCTCAAACTGGGGCCAGTAATGGCCTCAAACTGGGGCCAGTAAAGGCCTCAAACTGGGGCCAGTAAAGGTCTCAAACTGGGGCCAGTAAGGGCAGGACACTGGGGCCAGTAAGGGCCCCAAAGTTGTCCCAGTAAAGGCCTCAAACTGGTCCCAGTAAAGGTCTCAAACTGGGGCCAGTAAGGGTCCCAGACTGGGCCCAGAAAGGGCCTCATACTGGGGCCAGTAAGGGCAGGACACTGGGGCCAGTAAGGGCCCTAAAGTAGTCCCAGTAAAGGCCTCAAACTGGGGCCAGTAAAGGCCTCATACTGGGGCCAGTAAAGGCCTCAAACTGGGGCCAGTAAAGGCCTCATACTGGGGCCAGTAAAGGTCTCAAACTGGGGCCAGTAATGGCCTCATACTGGGGCCAGTAATGGCCTCATACTGGGGCCAGTAAAGGGCACATACTGGGACCAGTAAGGGCCTCATACTGGGGCCAGTAAAGGCCTCAAACTGGGGCCAGTAAGGGCCTCATACTGGGGCCAGTAAAGGCCTCAAACTGGGGCCTGTAAAGGTCTGAAACTGGGCCCAGTAAGGGCCTCGTACTGGGGCCAGTAAAGGCCTCGTACTGGGGCCAGTAAAGGTCTCAAACTGGGGCCAGTCAGGGCCTCATACTGGTCCCAGTAAAGGCCTCAAACTGGGGCCAGTAAGGGTTGCAGACTGGGCTCAGCAGGGCCTCAGACTGGGCCCAGTAATGGCCTCATACTGGTCCCAGTAAGGGCTCCAAACTGGGCCCAGCAGGGCCTCATACTGGTCCCAGTAAAAGGCACATACTGGAACCAGTGAGGGGCACATATTGGGACCAGTAAAGGACTCATACTGGTCCCAGTAAGGGTCACATACTGGTCCCAGTAAGGGGCAGGTACTGGTCCCAGTTGAGGTCACATACTGGTCCCAGTAGAGCCTCAGTAGGGGTCACATACTGGTCCCAGTCCCATACTGGTCACATACTGGTCCCAGTAAGGGGCAGGTACTGGTTCCAGCAGGGCCTCCATGGGGGCCGGTACTGGGACCAATAGGGGCACATACTGGGACCAGTAAAGGTCCCATACTGGTCCCAGTTAGGCCTTGGTGAGGGGCAGGTACTGGTTCCAGTAAAGGGCACATACTGGTCCCAGCAGGGGTCACATACTGGTCCCAGTAAGGGGCAGGTACTGGTCCCAGTAAGGGTCACATGCTGGTCCCAGTAAGGGTCACATACTGGTCCCAGTAAGGGTCACATACTGGTCCCAGTAAAGGGCACATACTGGTTCCAGTAAGGGTCACATACCGGTCCCAGTAGAGCCTCAGCAGGGGTCACATACTGGTCCCAGTAAGGGGCAGGTACTGGTCCCAGTAAGGGGCAGGTACTGGTCCCAGTAAGGGTCACATACTGGTCCCAGTAAGGGGCAGGTACTGGTCCCAGCACAGCCTCCATGGGGGCCGGTACTGGGGCTGATAGGGGGCACATACTGGGACCAGTAAAGGTCACATACTGGTCCCAGTAAGGCCCCAGTGTGTCCCAGTAAGGGTCACATACTGGTCCCAGTTAGGCCCCAGTGGAAGGCAGGTACTGGTCCCAGTAAAGGTCCCATACTGGTCCCAGTTAGGCCTTGGTGAGGGGCAGGTACTGGTTCCAGCAGGGGTCACATACTGGTCCCAGTAAGAGGCACATACTGGTCCCAGTAAGGGGCACGTACTGGTCCCAGTAAGGGGCAGGTGCTGGTCCCAGTAAGGGGCAGGTACTGGTCCCAGTAAGGGTCACATACTGGTCCCAGTAAGGAGCAGGTACTGGTCCCAGTAAGGAGCAGGTACTGGTCCCAGTAAGGGTCACATACTGGTCCCAGTAGGGGTCAGGTACTGGTCCCAGTAAGGGTCACATACTGGTCCCAGTAAGGGGCAGGTACTGCTCCCAGTAAGGATCACATACTGGTCCCAGTAAGGGGCAGGTACTGGTTCCAGCAGGGCCTCCATGGGAGCCGGTACTGGGGCTGATAGGGGGCACATACTGGGACCAGTAAAGGGCACATACTGGAACCAGTAAAGGGCACATACTGGAACCAGTGAGGGGCACATACTGGAACCAGTAAGGGACAGGTACTGGTCCCAGTAAAGGGCAGGTACTGGTCCCAGTAAGGGGCAGGTACTGGTCCCAGCACGGCCTCCATGGGGGCCGGTACTGGGACTGATAGGGGGCACATACTGGGACCAGTAAAGGTCACATACTGGTCCCAGTAAGGCCCCAGTGGGTCCCAGTAAGGGTCACATACTGGTCCCAGTTAGGCCTTGGTGAGGGGCAGGTACTGGTCCCAGTAAGGGTCACATACTGGTCCCAGTTAGGCCCCAGTGGAAGGCAGGTACTGGTCCCAGTAAAGGTCCCATACTGGTCCCAGTTAGGCCTTGGTGAGGGGCAGGTACTGGTTCCAGCAGGGGTCACATACTGGTCCCAGTAAGGGTCACATACTGGTCCCAGTAAGGGTCACATACTGGTCCCAGTAGGGGTCAGGTACTGGTCCCAGTAAGGGTCACATACTGGTCCCAGTAAGGGGCAGGTACTGGTCCCAGTAAGGGGCAGGTACTGGTCCTAGTAAGGGGCACATGCTGGTCCCAGTAAGGGGCAGGTACTGGTCCCAGTAAGGGGCACATACTGGTCCCAGTAAGGCCCCAGTGGGTCCCAGTAAGGGTCACATACTGGTCCCAGTAAGGGGCAGGTGCTGGTCCCAGTGGAAGGCAGGTACTGGTCCCAGTAAGGGTCACATACTGGTCCCAGTAAGGGTCACATACTGATCCCAGTAGGGGTCAGGTACTGGTCCCAGTAAGGCTTTGGTGAACGTCCCAGTATGGTCCCAGTATGGCCCAGTATAGTCCCAGGTTGGTCCCAGTTTGGTCCCAGTATGGCCCAGGTTGGTCCCAGTATGGCCTAGGTTGGTCCCAGTTTGCTCCCAGTATGGTCCCAGTATGTCCCAGTATGGCCCAGTATGGTCCCAGTTTGCTCCCAGAATGACCCAGTATGGCCCAGTATAGCCCAGTTTAGTCCCAGTATGGACCAGTATGGTCCCAGTTTGGTCCCAGTGATTCCCAGTATAGCCCAGTATGACCCAGTTTGCTCTCAGTATGGTCCCAGTATTTTCCAATATGTCCCAGTATGGCCCCAGTTTGCTGCCAGTATGGCCCAGTATGGCCCAGTATGACCCAGTATGGCCCAGTTTGCTCCCTGTTTGCTCCCAGTATGGCCCAGGTTGGTCCCAGTATGGCCCAGGTTGGTCCCAGTATGGCCTAGGTTGGTCCCAGTTTGCTCCCAGTATGGCCCAGTTTGCTCCCAGTTTGCTCCCAGTATGGCCTAGGTTGGTCCCAGTATGGCCCAGTATGGCCCAGTTTGCTCCCAGTATGACCCAGTTTGCTCCCAGTATGGCCCCAGTTTGGTCCCAGTGATTCCCAATATGGCCCAGTATGGCCCAGTATAGCCCAGTTTGCTCCCAGTGATTCCCAGTATAGCCCAGTATGACCCCAGTATGGCCCAGTTTGCTCCCAGTATGGCCCAGTTTGCTCCCAGTATAGCCCAGTTTGCTCCCAGTGATTCCCAGTATAACCCAGTATGGCCCAGTTTGCTCCCAGTATGGCCCAGTTTGCTCCCAGTATGGCCCAGTTTGCTCCCAGTTTGGTCCCAGTTGTGCTGGGGATGGGCCAGGCAGGGGTTGGGCTCATGGGGCGTCATGGCTGTGTCACTGTGTCACCTGAGTGTCACCTGTGTCACCTGTGTCACCTGTGTCACCTGTGTGTGTCACTGTGTCACCTGTGTCACCTGTGTGTGTCACCTGAGTGTCACCTGTGTCACCTGTGTGTGTCACCTGTGTGTGTCACCTGTGTGTGTCACCTGTGTGTCACCTGTGTGTCACCTGTGTCACTGTGTGTGTCACTGTGTCACCTGTGTGTGTCACTGTGTGTGTCACCTGTGTGTCACCTGTGTGTCACCTGTGTCACCTGTGTGTCACCTGTGTGTCACCTGTGTCACCTGTGTGTGTCACCTGTGTGTCACCTGTGTGTCACCTGTGTGTGTCACTGTGTCACCTGTGTGTCACCTGTGTGTGTCACCTGTGTGTGTCACCTGTGTGTGTCACCTGTGTCACCTGTGTCACCTGTGTGTCACCTGTGTATGTCACCTGTGTCACCTGTGTGTCACCTGTGTCACCTGTGTGTCCCCACCTGCATCCATGTTTGTCACCTGTGTGTCACCTGTGTCTCCTTGTCCCCGTGTGTCCCTGCGTGTCTGTGCCACCTGTCACCCGTGTCACCACTGTCCTGCCTCTGTCCCTGTGTGTGTCACCTGTGTCGCTCTGTCACCTGTGTCCCTGTGTGTCCCCAGCTGTCCCTGTGTCCCTATGTGTCCCCAATGTCCTCATGTGTCCCCAGCTGTCCCCAGTGTCCACTGAGTGTCCCCAGTGTCCCCTCAGTGTCCCCAGTGTCCCATCAATGTCCCCAATGTCCCCTGAGTGTCCCCAATATCCCCTCAGTGTTCCCAGTGTCCCCACTGTCCCCAGTATCCCCTCAGTGTCCCCGTTGTCCCCAGTGTCCCCTCAGTGTCCCCAATATCCCCAATGTCCCCTCAGTGTCCCCTCAATGTCCCCAATGTCCCCTCAGTGTCCCCTCAGTGTCCCCAATATCCCCTCAGTGTCCCCAGTGTCCCCAATGTCCCCTGAATGTCCCCAGTGTCCCCTCACTGTCCCCAGTGTCCCCAATGTCCCCTCAGTGTCCCCAGTGTCCCCAGTGTCCCTGATGTCCCCAATGTCCCCTCAGTGTCCCCAGTGTCCCCTCAGTGTCCCCAGTGTCCCCTCAATGTCCCCAATGTCCCCTGAGTGTCCCCAATGTCCCCTCACTGTCCGCAATGTCCCCACTGTCCCCTCAGTGTCCCCTCAGTGTCCCCATTGTCCCCAATGTCCCCTCAATGTCCCCAATGTCCCCCCAGTGTCCCCAATATCCTCACTGTCCGCAATGTCCCCTCAATGTCCCCGTTGTCCCCTCTCTGTCCCCGTTGTCCCCTCAGTGTCCCCAGTGTCGCCTCAGTGTCCCCTCAGTGTTCCCGTTCTCCCCACTGTCCCCTCACTGTCCCCACTGTCCCCAATGTCCCCGCTGTCCCCTCACTGTCCCCTCAGTGTCCCCAATATCCCCTCAGTGTCCCCAATGTCCCCGTTGTCCCCTCAGTGTCCCCACTGTCCCCAATATCCCCTCAGTGTCCCCTCAGTGTCCCCACTGTCCCCTCACTGTCCCCTCACTGTCCCCGCTGTCCCCTCAGTGTCCCCTCAATGTCCCCATTGTCCCCGTTGTCCCCTCACTGTCCCCATTGTCCCCAATGTCCCCTCAATGTCCCCATTGTCCCCTCAGTGTCCCCAATATCCCCTCAATGTCCCCGCTGTCCCCTCAGTGTCCCCAGTGTCCCCAGTGTCCCCAATGTCCCCTGAGTGTCCCCAATATCCCCTCAGTGTCCCCAGTGTCCCCAATGTCCCCAATGTCCCCACTGTCCCCTCACTGTCCCCACTGTCCCCTCTCTGTCCCCATTGTCCCCTCAGTGTCCCCACTGTCCCCATTGTCCCCTCACTGTCCCTGTTGTCCCCACTGTCCCCACTGTCCCCAATGTCCCCTCAGTGTCCCCAATGTCCCCACTGTCCCCTCAGTGTCCCCTCAGTGTCCCCTGACTGTCCCCTCGCTGTCCCCAGACATCAACGAGCTGAACCTGCCCAAGACGTGTGAGATCGATTTCTCAGACCAGGACGATCTCCTGCACTTCCGCCTGCTCATCTGCCCCGACGAGGTGGGCACGGCACGGGGGGCACCTGGGGGGCACCTGGGGCACCTTCCTATGTCACCTGGGGGCATCTGTGGCACCTGTGTGGCACCTGCATGGCACCTGTCTGTCACCTGTGTGGCACCTGGGGAACCCGGGAGACACCTGGGGAACCTCTCTGGGGCACCTGGGGGGCACCTGGGGAACCTGGGGCACCTTCCTGTGGCACCTGGGGGGCACCTGGGGGGCACCTGGGGCACCTGGGGGGAACCTGGGGGGCACCTGGGGAACCTGGGGCACCTTCCTGTGTCACCTGGGGCACCTGGGGGACCTGGGGCACCTGGGTGGGACCTGGGGGGCACCTGGGGGGCACCTGGGGAACCTTCCTGGGGCACCTGGGGGGCACCTGGGGAACCTCCCTGGGGCACCTGTGGCACATGGGGGCACCTGGGGGGCACCTGAGTGTCACCTCTGTGTCACCTGGCGCACCTGTGTGGCACCTGGGGAACCCGGGGGACACCTGGGGAATCTCTCTGGGGCACCTGGGGGGCACCTGGGGGCAGCTGTGTCACCTCTGTGGCACCTGGGGCACCTGTGTGTGTCACCTGTGGCACCTCTGTGTCACCTGTGTGGCACCTGTGTGGCACCTAGGGAACCTCCCTGGGGCACCTGGGGGGCACCAGGGGAACGTGGGGGGCACCTGGGGAACCCAGGGGGCACCTGGGGAGAACCTGGGGGGCACCTGGGGAACCTTCTTGGGGCACCTTGGGGGCACCTGGGGACATCTGGGGCACCTGGGGGGCACCTGGGGAACCTTCCTGTGTCACCTGGGGCACCTGGGGGGCACCTGGGGGCACCTGGGGCAGCTGGGGGGCACCTGGGACACCTGGGGGAATCTGGGGGAAACCTGGGGGGCACCTGGGGTACCTGGGGGACACCTGGGGGGAACCTGGGGGGCACTTGGGTGGGACCTGTGTCACCTGCATGGCACCTGTGTGTGTCACCTGGGGCACCTGGGGGCACCTGGGGAACCTTCCTGTGTCACCTGGGGGACATCTGGGGACACCTGGGTCACCTGGGGCACATTGGGTTACCTGGGCAGCACTTGGGGGGCACCTGGGGAACCTGGGGGGCACCTGGGGCACCTGGGGGGCACCTGGGGAACCTTCCTGGGGCACCTGGGGGGGCTTGGGGGAACCTGGGGCACCTGGGGCACCTCCCTGGGGAACCTCCCTGGGGTACCTGGGGAACCTTGGGGGCACCTGGGGGGCATCTGGGGAACCTTCCTGTGTCACCTGGGGGTACCTGGGGGGCACCTCTGTGTCACCTGGGGAACCTTCCTGTGTCACCTGGGGCAGCTGGGGGGCACCTGGGGAACCTGGGGGGCACCTGTGTCACCTGGGGGGCACCTGGGGAACCTGGGGAACCTGGGGGGCACCTGGGGCACCTTCCTGTGGCACCTGGGGGCATCTGTGGCACCTGTGTGGCACCTGCATGGCACCTGTCTGTCACCTGTGTGGCACCTGGGGGGCACCTGGGGGGCACCTGGGGCACCTCCCTGGGGCACCTGGGGGGCTTGGGGGAACCTTGGGCACCTACCTGGGGCACCTGGGGGCACCTCCCTGGGGCACCTTCTTGGGGAACCTTGGGGGCATCTGTGTCACCTGTGTGTCACCTGTGTGTCACGTGTGGCACCTGTGTGTCACCTGTGTGTCACCTGGGGCACCTGGGGAACCTCCCTGGGGCACATGGGGGCATCTGTGTCACCTCTGTGTCACCTGGGGGGCACCTGGGGAACCTTGGGGGCATCTGTGTCATCTGTGTCACCTGGGGTATGTGGGAGACACCTGGGGAGCCTGGGGGGAACCTGGGGGTCACCTGGGGAACCTCCCGGGGGCACCTGGGGGGCACCTGGGGGCACATGGGGGCACCTGGGGGGAACCTGGGGGGCACCTGGGGCACCTGGGTGGGACCTGGGGCACCTGGGTGGGACCTGGGGGGCACCTGGGGCACCTTCCTCTATCACCTGGGTGCACGTGGGGAACCTGGGAGGCACCTGGGGGCACCTGGGGGTACCTGGGGCACCTGGGGAACTTGGGCACCTCCCTGGGGAACCTGGGGAGAACCTGGGGGCATCTGTGTCACATGTGTGGCACCTGTATGTGGCACCTGTGTGGCACCTGTGGCACCTCTGTGGCACCTGGGGGGAACCTGGGGGGCACTTGGGGCACGTGGGGAACCTGGGGGGCACCTGGGGGGAACCTGGGGGGCACTTGGGGGGCACCTGGGGCACCTCCCTGGGGAACCTTCTTGGGGAACCATAGGGGCATCTGTGTCACCTGTGTGTCACCTGTGTGTCACCTGTGTGTCACCTGTGTGTCACCTCTGTGTCACCTGGGGACATCTGGGGGGCATCTGGGGGACCTGGGGGACACCTGGGGCACTGGGGGCACTGGGGGCCACCTCCCTGTGTCCCCTCCCTGTGTCACCTGTGTCCCCTCCTGTCCCTGTCCCCCTGTCCCCTCCCTGTCCCCCCAGTGACGTTTCTCTGTCCCCAGGGTTTCTACAAGGGCGGCAAATTCGTCTTCAGCTTCAAGGTCAGTGCTGGGCCACCAAACCCCCCCTTGTGGCCACCAAACCCTCCCTGTGGCCACCAAACCCTCCCTGTGGCCACCAAACCCCTCCTGTGGCCACCAAACCCCTGCCATGGCCACCAAACCCCCCCTGTGGCCACCAAACCCCTGCCATGGCCACCAAACCCCTGCCATGGCCACCAAACCCTCCCTGTGGCCACCAAACCCCTGCCATGGCCACCAAACCCCTGCCATGGCCACCAAACCCCCCCTGTGGCCACCAAACCCTCCCTGTGGCCACCAAACCCCTGCCATGGCCACCAAACCCTCCCTGTGGCCACCAAACCCCTGCCATGGCCACCAAACCCTCCCTGTGGCCACCAAACCCCCCCTGTGGCCACCAAACCCCCCCTGTGGCCACCAAACCCCCCCTGTGGCCACGAAACCCTCCCTGTGGCCACCAAACCCCCCCTGTGGCCACCAAACCCTCCCTGTGGCCACCAAACCCCCCCTGTGGCCACCAAACCCCCCCTGTGGCCACCAAACCCCCCCTGTGGCCACCAAACCCTCCCTGTGGCCACCAAACCCTCCCTTGTGGCCACCAAACCCCTGCCATGGCCACCAAACCCTCCCTTGTGGCCACCAAACCCCCCCTGTGGCCACCAAACCCCCCCTGTGGCCATTGGGGGTCACTCAGTGGTCACTCAGTGGTCACTCAGTGGCCATTTTTGGGCTTGGTGGCCATTGGGGGTCACTTGGTGACCATTGGAGGGGTTGGTGGCCATGGGGGGTCACTCAGTGGCCATTGGGGGTCACTTGGTGGCCATTGGGGGTCACTCGGTGGCCATTGGGGGTCACTTGGTGGCCATTGGGGGTCACTTGGTGGTCACTCGGTGGCCATTGGGGGGTTGGTGGCCATTGAGGGTCACTCGGTGGCCATTGGGGGGTTGGTGGCCATTGGGGGTCACTCGGTGGCCATTGAGGGTCACTTGGTGACCATTGGGGGGTTGGTGGCCATTGGGGGTCACTCAGTGGTCACTTGGTGGCCATTGGAGGTCACTTGGTGGCCCCTGGGGGTCACTTGGTGGCCATTGGGGGCGTTGGTGGCCATTGGAGGTCACTCAGTGGCCATTTGGGGTCACAGTGGCCATTGAGGGTCACTCAGTGGCCATTGGGGGTCACTTGGTGACCATTGGGGGGTTGGTGGCCATTGGGGGTCACTCAGTGGCCATTGGAGGTCACTTGGTGGCCATTGGGGGGGTTGGTGGCCACCAAGGGTCACTCAGTGGTCACTCAGTGGCCACAGGGAGGATTGGTGGCCATTGCTGGTCACTCAGTGGCCATTGGGGGTCACTCGGTGGCCATTGGGGGTCACTTGGTGGTCATTCGGTGGCCATTGGGGGGTTGGTGGCCCCTGGGGGGGTTGGTGGCCATTGGGGGTCACTCAGTGGCCATTGGGGGTCACTTGGTGGCCATTGCGGGGGTTGGTGGCCATTGGGGGTCACTCTGTGGTCACTCAGTGGTCACTCAGTGGCCATTGGGGACTTGGTGGCCATTGCCGGTCACTTGGTGGCCAATGGGGGCTTGGTGGCCATTGGGGGTCACTCAGTGGTCACTCAGTGGCTATTGGAGGTCACTCGGTGGCCATTGGGGGTCACTCAGTGGCCATTGGGGGTCACTCAGTGGTCACTCAGTGGCCCCCATGGGTCACTCAGTGGTCACTCAGTGGTCACTCAGTGGTCACTCGGTGGCCATTGGGGGTCACAGTGGCCATTGGTGGTCACTCGGTGGTCACTCGGTGGTCACTCGGTGGTCACTCGGTGGTCACTCATGGTCACTCAGTGTCACTCAGTGGTCACTCTGTGTCACTCAGTGGTCACTCAGTGGTCACTCAGTGTCACTCAGTGGTCACTCAGTGGTCACTCTGGTCACTCAGTGGTCACTCAGTGTCACTCAGTGGTCACCCTGTGGTCACTCAGTGGTCACTCTGGTCACTCAGTGGTCACTCAGTGGTCACTCAGTGGTCACTCTGTGCTGTCCCCAGGTGGGGCAGGGCTGGTGGTCACTCAGTGGTCACTCTGGTCACTCAGTGCTCACTCAGTGGTCACTCAGTGGTCACCCTGTGGTCACTCAGTGGTCACTCAGTGGTCACTCAGTGGTCACTCTGGTCACTCTGTGCTGTCCCCAGGTGGGGCAGGGCTGGTGGTCACTCATGGTCACTCAGTGGTCACTCATGGTCACTCAGTGGTCACTCAGTGGTCACTCAGTGGTCACTCAGTGTCACTCAGTGGTCACTCAGTGGTCACTCAGTGTCACTCAGTGGTCACTCAGTGGTCACTCAGTGGTCACTCAGTGGTCACTCAGTGGTCACTCTGTGCTGTCCCCAGGTGGGGCAGGGCTGGTGGTCACTCTGGTCACTCTGTGGTCACTCAGTGGTCACTCAGTGGTCACCCTGTGGTCACTCAGTGGTCACTCAGTGTCAGTGGTCACTCAGTGGTCACTCAGTGGTCACTCATGGTCACTCAGTGGTCACTCAGTGGTCACTCAGTGGTCCCTCAGTGGTCACTCAGTGGTCACTCAGTGGTCACTCAGTGGTCCCTCAGTGGTCACTCATGGTCACTCTGGTCACTCAGTGGTCACTCAGTGTCACTCAGTGGTCACTCAGTGTCACTCAGTGCTCACTCTGTGTCACTCAGTGGTCACTCAGTGGTCACTCAGTGGTCACCCTGTGGTCACTCAGTGGTCACTCAGTGGTCACTCAGTGTCACTCAGTGGTCACTCAGTGGTCACCCTGTGGTCACTCAGTGGTCACTCAGTGGTCACTCAGTGGTCACTCTGGTCACTCAGTGGTCACTCAGTGGTCACTCAGTGGTCACTCAGTGTCACTCAGTGGTCACTCAGTGGTCACTCAGTGGTCACTCTGTGCTGTCCCCAGGTGGGGCAGGGCTGGTGGTCACTCGTGGTCACTCAGTGGTCACTCAGTGGTCACTCAGTGGTCACTCTGTGCTGTCCCCAGGTGGGGCAGGGCTGGTGGTCACTCAGTGTCACTCATTGGTCACTCTGTGGTCACTCTGGTCACTCAGTGTCACTCAGTGTCACTCAGTGGTCACTCAGTGGTCACTCAGTGGTCACTCAGTGTCAGTGGTCACTCGGTGGTCACTCAGTGGTCACTCAGTGGTCACTCAGTGGTCACTCTGGTCACGCAGAGGTCACTCAGTGGTCACTCTGGTCACTCAGTGGTCACTCAGTGGTCACTCATGGTCACTCAGTGTCACTCTGTGGTCACTCAGTGGTCACTCAGTGGTCACTCAGTGGTCACTCTGTGCTGTCCCCAGGTGGGGCAGGGCTGGTGGTCACTCAGTGGTCACTCGGTGGTCACTCAGTGGTCACTCTGTGCTGTCCCCAGGTGGGGCAGGGCTGGTGGTCACTCAGTGGTCACTCAGTGTCACTCAGTGTCACTCAGTGGTCACTCAGTGGTCACTCAGTGTCACTCATGGTCACTCAGTGGTCACTCAGTGGTCACTCAGTGGTCACTCAGTGGTCACTCTGGTCACTCAGTGGTCACTCAGTGGTCACTCAGTGGTCACTCAGTGGCCATTGGGGGTCACTCAGTGGTCACTCAGTGGTCACTCTGTGCTGTCCCCAGGTGGGGCAGGGCTGGTGGTCACTCAGTGGTCACTCTGTGGTCACTCAGTGGTCACTCAGTGGTCACTCAGTGGTCACTCAGTGGTCACTCTGTGCTGTCCCCAGGTGGGGCAGGGCTGGTGGTCACTCAGTGGTCACTCAGTGTCAGTGGTCACTCAGTGTCAGTGGTCACTCAGTGGTCACTCAGTGGTCACTCAGTGGTCACTCTGGTCACTCTGTGCTGTCCCCAGGTGGGGCAGGGCTGGTGGTCACTCAGTGGTCACTCAGTGTCACTCAGTGGTCACTCAGTGGTCACCCTGTGGTCACTCAGTGGTCACTCTGTGGTCACTCAGTGGTCACTCTGGTCACTCAGTGTCACTCAGTGGTCACTCAGTGGTCACTCAGTGGTCACTCAGTGGTCACTCAGTGGTCACTCAGTGTCACTCAGTGGTCACTCAGTGGTCACTCAGTGGTCACTCTGTGCTGTCCCCAGGTGGGGCAGGGCTGGTGGTCACTCTGTGGTCACTCAGTGGTCACTCAGTGGTCACTCAGTGGTCACTCAGTGGTCACTCAGTGGTCACTCTGTGGTCACTCAGTGGTCACTCATTGGTCACTCAGTGGTCACTCAGTGTCACTCAGTGGTCACTCAGTGGTCACTCAGTGGTCACTCAGTGGTCACTCAGTGGTCACTCTGTGCTGTCCCCAGGTGGGGCAGGGCTGGTGGTCACTCAGTGTCAGTGGTCACTCAGTGTCACTCAGTGGTCACTCAGTGGTCACTCAGTGGTCACTCTGGTCACTCTGTGCTGTCCCCAGGTGGGGCAGGGTTACCCTCACGACCCGCCCAAGGTGAAGTGTGAGACCATGGTGTACCACCCCAACATCGACCTGGAGGGCAACGTCTGCCTCAACATCCTCAGGTGAGGCCAAAAACACACCTGGGGACACCTGGGGACACCTGGGGGGTACAAACACACCTGGGGACACCTGGGGACATGGGGACACACCTGGGGACACACCTGGGGGACATAGGGACACACCTGGGGACACACCTGGAGGGTACAAACACACCTGGAGGGCAACGTCTGCCTCAACATCCTCAGGTGAGACAAAAACACACCTGGGACACACCTGGGGACACCTGGGGGGGACAGGGACACACCTGGGGGGCAACGTCTGCCTCAACATCCTCAGGTGAGGGCACAAAAACACACCTGGGGGCATGGGGACACCTGGGGACACCTGGGGGACATGGGGACACACCTGGGGGACATGGGGACACACCTGGGGACAGTGACACACCTGGGACACCTGGGGACACACCTGGGGGGGTACAAACACACCTGGGGGGCAACGTCTGCCTCAACATCCTCAGGTGAGACAAAAACACACACCTGGGGACACCTGGGGACACCTGGGGGACATAGGGACACACCTGGGACACACCTGGGGACACCTGGGGACACCTGGGGGGGGTTAGAGATACACCTGGGGGGGACAGGGACACACCTGGACACACCTGGGGGGGTACAAACACACCTGGAGGGCAACGTCTGCCTCAACATCCTCAGGTGAGGGCAAAAACACACCTGGGGACATGGGGACACACCTGGGGGACACCTGGGACACACCTGGGGACACCTGGGACACACCTGGGGGGCAACGTCTGCCTCAACATCCTCAGGTGAGGGACACCTGGGGACACGCCTGGGGACACCTGGGGACACCTGGGGACAGTGACACACCTGGGGGACAGTGACACACCTGGGGACACACCTGGGGGGGTTAGAGACACACCTGGGGGGTACAAACACACCTGGGGACACATCTGGAGGGCAACGTCTGCCTCAACATCCTCAGGTGAGGGACACCTGGGGGACATGGGGACACACCTGGGGACACACCTGGACACACCTGGGGGGGTACAAACACACCTGGAGGGCAACGTCTGCCTCAACATCCTCAGGTGAGGCAAAAACACACCTGGGGACATGGGGACACCTGGGGGGCATGGGGACACACCTGGGGACACCTGGGGACACACCTGGGGACACCTGGGGACACCTGGGGGGGACAGGGACACACCTGGGGGGCAACGTCTGCCTCAACATCCTCAGGTGAGGGCAAAAACACCTGGGGGACATGGGGACACCTGGGGACACCTGGGGACACACCTGGGGGGCAACGTCTGCCTCAACATCCTCAGGTGAGGGCAAAACCACACCTGGGGACACCTGGGGACACCTGGGACACCTGGGGACACACCTGGGGACACCTGGGACACACCTGGGGACACACAAACACACCTGGGGGGCAACGTCTGCCTCAACATCCTCAGGTGAGGGACACCTGGCACACCTGGGGACACCTGGGGACACACCTGGGGGACATGGGGACACCTGGGGACACACCTGGGGACACCTGGGGGGGACAGTGACACACCTGGGGACACACCTGGGGACACACCTGGCACACCTGGGGACACCTGAGGGGCATGGGGACACCTGGGGACACACCTGGGCACACACCTGGGACACACCTGGGGGGTACAAACACACCTGGAGGGCAACGTCTGCCTCAACATCCTCAGGTGAGGGCACAAAAACACACCTGGGACACACCTGGGGACATGGGGACACACCTGGGACACACCTGGGGGGGACAGGGACACACCTGGGGGGGACAGGGACACACCTGGAGGGCAACGTCTGCCTCAACATCCTCAGGTGAGGCCAAAAACACACCTGGGACACACCTGGGACACACCTGGGGACACACCTGGGGACACACCTGGGGACACACCTGGGGGGACAGTGACACACCTGGGGGGCAACATCTGCCTCAACATCCTCAGGTGAGGCCAAAAACACACCTGGGGACATACCTGGGGGGTACAAACACACCTGGGGACACAGCTGGGGACACCTGGGGGGGACAGGGACACACCTGGGGACACACCTGGGGGGCAACGTCTGCCTCAACATCCTCAGGTGAGGCACAAAAACACACCTGGGGGACATGGGGACACCTGGGGGACATGGGGACACACCTGGGGACACACCTGGGGACACCTGGGGACACCTGGGGGGCTGTGACACACCTGGGGGGCTGTGACACACCTGGGGACACACCTGGAGGGCAACGTCTGCCTCAACATCCTCAGGTGAGACAAAAACACACCTGGGGACACACCTGGGACACCTGGGGACACACCTGGGGGGGACAGGGACACACCTGGGGGGGTACAAACACACCTGGGGGGGACAGGGACACACCTGGGGACACACCTGGGGGGGTTAGAGACACACCTGGGGACACACCTGGGGGGGACAGGGACACACCTGGGGGGGACAGTGACACACTTGGAGGGCAACGTCTGCCTCAACATCCTCAGGTGAGGGACAAAAACACACCTGGGGACACACCTGGGACACACCTGGGGACACACCTGGGGGGTACAAACACACCTGGGGGGGTACAAACACACCTGGGGACACCTGGGGACACACCTGGAGGGCAACGTCTGCCTCAACATCCTCAGGTGAGGCACAAACACACCTGGGGACACCTGGGGACACCTGGGGGGGTTAGAGACACACCTGGGGGGCAACGTCTGCCTCAACATCCTCAGGTGAGGGGAAACACACCTGGGGACACACCTGGGACATGGGGACACACCTGGGGACACACCTGGGACACACCTGGGGACACCTGGGGACACACCTGGGGGGCTGTGACACACCTGGGCACACACCTGGGGGGCAACGTCTGCCTCAACATCCTCAGGTGAGGGACACCTGGGGACACCTGGGGACACACCTGGGGACACACCTGGGGGGCTGTGACACACCTGGGGACACCTGGGGGGGACATAGGGACACACCTGGGGGGGTACAAACACACCTGGGGGGCAACGTCTGCCTCAACATCCTCAGGTGAGGCCAAAAACACACCTGGGACACCTGGGGGGTACAAACACACCTGGGGACACACCTGGGGACATGGGGACACCTGGGGGGCAACATCTGCCTCAACATCCTCAGGTGAGGCACAAACACACCTGAGGGACACCTGGGGACACCTGGGGACACCTGGAGGACATGGGGACACCTGGGGACACCTGGAGACACCCCTGGGGACACCTGGGGGACAGTGACACACCTGGGGACACACCTGGGGGGGTTAGAGACACACCTGGGGGACACCTGGGGGGTACAAACACACCTGGGGACACACCTGGAGGGCAACATCTGCCTCAACATCCTCAGGTGAGGGCAAAAACACACCTGGGGACATGGGGACACCTGGGGGGCATGGGGACACACCTGGGGACACCTGGGACACACCTGGGGGACAGTGACACACCTCTGACACACCTGGGGGACATGGGGACACACCTGGGGGCTGTGGTCACCTGCTGGTGGCCGTGGTGGCCCCACTGACCATGGCTGTGGCTGCAGTGGCCGTGCCCGCTGACCACAGTGGCTGCAATGACTGCAGTGGCTGTGGTGGCCGCAGTGCCCGCAGTGGCCGTGCCCACTGACCATAGTGGCCATGGCAGTGACCGTGGTGGCCGTGGTGGCTGCAGTGGCCGCGGTGGCCGTGCCCGCTGACCATAGTGGCCATGGCAGTGACCGCGGTGGCTGCGGTGGCCATGGCAGTGGCCACAGAGGCCGTGGTGGCCATAGTGGCCATGGCGACCATGGCAGTGACCGTGGTAGCCGTGGTGGCCGTGGTGGCCGTGCCCGCTGACCGCAGTGGCCGTAGTGGCCATGGCAGTGACCATGGCAGTGACCATGGCAGTGACCGCGGTGGCCGCAGTGGCCGTAGTGGCCATGGCAATGACCATGGCAGTGACCGGCAGTGGCCACGGTGGTCGTGCCCACTGACCATAGTGGCCATGGCAGTGACCGTGGGGGCTGCGGTGGCCGTAGTGGCCTTGAAGTGACCATGGCAGTGGCCGCGGTGGCTGCAGTGGCCATGGCCGTGCCCGCTGACCACAATGGCCGCGGTGGCCGCAGTGGCCATGGCCGTGCCTGCTGACCACAATGGCCACAGTGACCGCAGTGGCCGCAGTGACTGTGGTGGCCACAATGACTGCAGTGGCCGCGGTGGCCGTGGTGGCCGTGGCTGTGCCCGCAGTGGCCGCAGTGACTGTGGTGGCCGTGGTGGCCGCGGTGACCATGGCAGTGACCGCAGTGGCCGCGGTGGCTGCAGTGACCATGGCAGTGACCGCGGTGGCCGTGGTGACCATGGCAGTGACCATGGCAGTGACCATGGCAGTGACCGCGGTGGCCGTGGTGGCCGTGGTGGTGACCATGGCAGTGACCATGGCAGTGACCATGGCAGTGACCGTGGTGGCTGCAGTGACCATGGCAGTGACCATGGCAGTGACCATGGTGGCCGTGGTGGCCGTGGTGGTGACCATGGCAGTGACCATGGCAGTGACCATGCTGGCCGTGGTGGCTGCAGTGACCATGGCAGTGACCATGGCAGTGACCGCGGTGGCCATGGTGGCCATGGTGGCCATGGCAGTGGCTGCGGTGACCATGGTGACCATGGCAGTGGCCATGGCAGTGACCATGGCAGTGACCGTGGTGACCGTGGTGTCCATGGTGGCCATGGCAGTGACCGCAGTGACCGTGGTGGCTGTGGTGGCTGTGGTGGCCATGGTGGCCGTGGTGGCCGTGGTGGTGACCATGGCAGTGACCATGGCAGTGACCATGGCAGTGACCGCGGTGACTGTGGTGGCCATGGTGACCGTGGCAGTGACCACGGCAGTGACCATGGCAGTGACCGCAGTGGCCATGGTGGCCATGGTGGCCATGGCAGTGGCTGCGGTGGCCATGGCAGTGACCGCGGTGGCCGTGGTGGCCGTGGTGGCCGTGGTGGTGACTGTGGTGGCCGTGGTGGCCATGGTGACCATGGCAGTGACCGTGGTGGCCATGGTGACCATGGCAGTGACCATGGCAGTGACCATGGCAGTGACCATGGCAGTGACCATGGTGACCATGGCAGTGGCCATGGCAGTGACCGCAGTGGCCATGGTGGCCATGGTGGCCGCAGTGACCATGGCAGTGACCATGGCAGTGACCGCGGTGGCCATGGTGGCTGTGGTGGCCGTGGTGGTGACCATGGTGACCATGGCAGTGACCGTGGTGGCCGTGGTGGCCATGGTGACCATGGCAGTGACCATGGTGGCCATGGCGGTGACCGTGGTGGCCGTGGTGTCCATGGTGACCATGGTGACCATGGCAGTGACCGTGGCAGTGACCGCGGTGGCCATGGTGGCCGTGGTGGCCGTGGTGGTGACCATGGTGGCTGCAGTGACCATGGCAGTGACCATGGCAGTGACCACAGCAGTGACCGTGTCTGTCCCCACAGGGAGGACTGGAAGCCGGTGCTGACCATCAACTCCATCATCTACGGCCTGCAGTACCTGTTCCTGGTGAGGGACACCTGGGGACACCTGGGGACACCTGGGGACACCTGGGGACACCTGGGGGGAGATGGGGACACCTGGGGGGATGTGGAGACACCTGGAGGGACACTTGGGGGGACACTTGGGGGGACACCTAGGGACACCTGGAGGGAGATGGGGACACCTGGGGACACCTGGGGGGAGACCTGGGGACACCTGGAGGGAGATGGGGACACGGGGACACCTGGGGGGACACCTGGGGGGGAGATGGGGACACCTGGAGGGACACTTGGGGGGACACCTGGGGGAGATGGGGACACCTGGGGGGACACCTGGGGGGAGACCTGGGGATACCTGGGGGGAGATGGGGACACACCTGGAGGGACATGGGGACACACCTGGGGGAACACCTGGGGACACCTGGGGGAACGTGGGGACACCTGGGAGGGGCTTGGGGACACACCTGGGGGGAGATGGGGACACCTGGGGGGAGACCTGGGGACACCTGGGGGGACACGTGGGAGGAGATGGGGACACCTGAGGGACACCTGGGGGGACACCTGGAGGGACATGGGGACACCTGGGGGGGCTTGGGGACACCTGGGGACACCTGAGGGAGATGGGTCACACCTGGGGACATGGGGACACACCCAGGGACACACCTGGGGATGTGGGGACATGGGGACACACCTGGGGACATGGGGACACAGCTGGGGACACCTGGGGGGGCTTGGGGACACCTGGGGGGAGATAGGGACGCCTGGAGGGGCGTGGGGACACGGGGACACCTGGGGGGACGCACCTGGGGATGTGGGGGGACACCTGGAGGGACACCTGGGGGGAGATGGGGACACGGGGACACCTGGGGGAGATGGGGACACCTGGGGACACCAGGAGGGATGGAGGGACACCTGGGGGAACACACCTGGGGATGTGGGGACATGGGGACACCTGGGGGTGTGGGAGGACAGCTGGGGACACACCTGAGGGGAGATGGGGACACCTGGAGGGACGTGGGGACACTTGGGGACACACCTAGGGACACCTGGAGGGACATGGGGACACCTGGGGACACACCCGGTGGGACTTGGGGACACCTGAGGGGATAAGGACACACCTGGGGACATGGAGGGGGCACCTGGGGACATGGGGACGCTCCTAGGGACACACCTGGGGGGAGATGGGGACACTCCTGGGGACACACCTGGAGACACTCATGGGGACATGGGGGTGGCACCTGGGGACACTCCTAGGGACACATGTGGGGACATGGGGACACACCTGGGGGGAGATGGGGACACATGTGGGGACAAACCTGGGGACACACCTCGGGATGTGGGGACACACCTGGGGACACCTGGAGGGACGTGGGGACACCTGGGGGGATGTGGGGACACCTGAGGGGACAAGGACACACCTGGGGACATGGAGGTGGCACCTGGGGACATGGGGACACCTGGGGACATGGAAGTGCCACCTGGGGACACACGTGGGGACATGGGGGTGGCACCTGGGGACAGGGGGATGCACCTGGGGACACACCTGGGGATGTGGGGACACAGCTGGGGACACCTGGAGGGACACTTGGGACACCTGTGGGAGATGGGGACACCTGGGGGGACACCTGGGGACACACTTGGGGACATGGGGACACAGATGGGGGGACACCTGGGGACATGGGGACATCAGGGGATACCTGGAGGGACACTTGGGGGGACATGGGGGTGGCACCTGGGGGGTGTTTGGGGACACCTGAGGGGACAAGGACACACCTGGGGACATGGAGGTGGCACCTGGGGACATGGGGACACCTGGGGACATGGAAGTGGCACCTGGGGACACACCTGGGGACACACCTGGGGACACACCTGGGGACACACCTGGGGAGATGGGGGACACCTGGGGACACACCTGGGGACATGGGGGTGGCACCTGAGGGGTGTTTGGGGTCCTGGGGGATTTTGAGGGGAATTTTTGGGGGATTTTGTGGGAATTTTAGGGGAATTTTGGGGGCGTTGAAAGGGATTTTGGGGGATTTTCATGGGATTTTAGGAAATTCTGGGAGGTTTTAGGAGAATTTTGGGATTTTGGGGGATTTTGGGGGAATTTTAGGGGAACTTTTGGGATTTTGGGGGATTTTAATGGGATTTTTAGGGAGTTTTAATGGGATTTTAGGAAATTGTGGGGGATTTGAGGGGAATTTTGGGATTTGGGGGATTTTTGTGGGAATTTTAGGGGAATTCTGGGATTTTGGGGGATTTTAATGGCATTTTAGGAAATTGTGGGGATTTTGAGGGGAATTTTGGGATCTGGGGGATTTTGTGGGAATTTTAGGGGAATTTTGGGATTTTGATTTTAATGGGATTTTAACAAATTGTGCGAGGTTTTAGGGGACTTTTGGATTTGGGGGTGTTGAAAGGGATTTTGGGGGATTTTCATGGGATTTTAGGAAATTCTGGGAGGTTTTAGGGGAAATTTTGGGATTTGGGGGATTTTGTGGGAATTTTGTGGGAATTTTAGGGAATTTTGGGATTTTGGGGGATTTTAATGGGATTTTACCAAATTCTGGGGGATTTTCGAGGAATTTCGGGATCCGGCTGCTTTAAGGGATTTTGGGGCCATTTTGGGGGAATTTTGGGGGAATTTTGGGATTTGGGGGATTTTAAAGGGATTTTGGGGGATTTTCATGGGATTTTAGGAAATTCTGGGAGGTTTTAGGGGAATTTTGGGATCTTTGAAGGAGTTCTGAGGGGATTTAGGAACTTTTAGGGCAATTTTGGGATCCGCCCGTTTTAAGGCATTTTGGGGGAATTTTATGGGAATTTTGTGGGAATTTTGGGATCCCCTTGACCCCAAATGTTTCCCCCAAAAGGAGCCAAACCCCAACCAATGGCTCGTGGGGTTTGGGGTTTTTTTGGGGATTTTTTGGGGTTTTTTGGGGTTTTTAGTGGGGTTTTAATGGGGTTTTAGGGGATTTTGGGATTTGGGGGGATTTTGTGGGAATTTTAGGGGAATTTTGGGATTTTGAGGGGAATTTTGGGATTTGGGGTGTTGAAAGGGATTTTGGGGGATTTTCATGGGATTTTAGCAAATTGTGGGGATTTGAGGGGAATTTTGGGATTTGGGGGATTTTGTGGAATTTTGTGGGAATTTTGGGATTTGGGGGATTTTAATTGGATTTTAGGGGATTTTAATGGGATTTTAGGAAATTGTGGGGGATTTGAGGGGAATTTTGGGATTTGAGGGATTTGTGGGAATTTTAGGGGAATTTTAGGGGAAATTTGGGATTTTATGGGATTTTAATGGATTTTAGGAAATTGTGGGGGATTTGAGGATTTTAATGGGAGTTTATGGGATTTTAATGGGATTTTACCAAATTCTGGGGGATTTTCGGGCAATTTTGGGATCCGGCCACTTTAAGGCATTTTGGTGGAATTTTATGGGAATTTTGGGGGAATTTTGGGATCCCCTTGACCCCAAATTTCCCCCCCAAAAGGAGCCAAACCCCAACCAATGGCTCGTGGGATTTGGGGTTTTTTGGGGATTTTTTGGGGTTTTTAGTGGGGTTTTAATGGGGCTTTAGGGGATTTTGGGATTTGGGGGGATTTTGTGGGAATTTTAGGGGAATTTTGGGATTTTGAGGGGAATTTTGGGATTTTGGGGGCGTTGAAAGGGATTTTGGGGTATTTTAATGGGATTTAAGGAAATTCTGGGAGATTTGAGGGGAAATTTTGGGATTTGGGGGATTTTAGGGGAATTTTAGGGGAATTCTGGGATTTTGGGGGTGTTGAAAGGGATTTTAGGGGATTTTCATGGGATTTTAGGAAATTCTGGGCGGTTTTAGGAGAATTTTGGGATTTGGGGGATTTTGTGGGAATTTTACTGGAAATTTGGGATTTTGGGGGATTTTAATGGGGTTTTATGGGATTTTAATGGGATTTAGGAAATTGTGGGGGATTTGAGGGGAATTTTGGGATTTGGGGGATTTTAATGGGATTTTATGGGATTTTCATGGGATTTTAGGAAATTCTGGGAGGTTTAGGGGAATTTTGGGATTTTTGAAGGAGTTCTGAGGAGATTTAGGAACTTTTAGGGGCAATTTCGGGATCCGCCCATTTTAAGGCATTTTGGTGGAATTTTGTGGGAATTTTGTGGGAATTTTGGGATCCCCTTGACCCTAAATTTCCCCCCCAAAAGGAGCCCAACCCCGAGGACCCCCTGAACAAGGAGGCTGCGGAGGTGCTGCAGAGCAACCGGCGCCTGTTTGAGCAGAACGTGCAGCGCTCGCTGCGGGGCGGATACGTGGGCGCCACCTACTTCGAACGCTGCCTGAAGTGACCCCAAAATCGGCCCCGAGGAGGGAGAGAGACCCTGGAGAAACCCAAGAAAAGCGGAGAAATATCCCCCAAAATGGCCCAAGAAAAGCTGGGAAAAATCCTGGAAAAATGCGAATAAAAGCTGGGAAAATATTCCCAAAAAACCCTGGAAAAGCTGCGAAAAATAGTCAAAAAATCCCAATAAAAGCTGAGAAATATCCCCAAAAAATCCCAATAAAACCTGAGAAATATCCCCAAAAATCCCAACAAAACCTGCAAAAAAATCCCATTAAAATACCCTAAAAAAACCCAATAAAAGCTGCAAAAAATACCCCAAAAAATCCCAATAAAACCTGAGAAATATCCCCAAAAAACCCCAATAAAACCGGAAAAAAATACCCCAAAAACCCCCAAAAAATCTGCAAAAATACCCAAAAATCCCAATAAAACCTGAGAAATATCCCCAAAAAATCCCAATAAAACCTGAGAAAAATCCCATTAAAATACCCCAAAAAATCCCAATAAAACCGGCAAAAAAATACCCCAAAAATCCCAATAAAACCTGCAAAAAATACCTCAAAAAATCCCAATAAAACCTGCAAAAATACCCCAAAAAATCCCAATAAAACCTGCAAAAAATCCCAATAAAAGCTGCAAAAAATCCCCCAAAAATCCCCATATGGGGGAAACGTGGGCGCCACCTCCTTCGAACGCTGCCTGAAGTGACCCCAAAAACGGCCCCGAGGAGGGAGAGAGACCCTGGAGAAACCCAAGAAAAGCGGAGAAATATCCCCCAAAATGGCCCAATAAAAGCTGGGAAAAATCCTGGAAAAATGCGAATAAAAGCTGGGAAATATTCCCAAAAATACCCAGTGAAAGCTGTGAAAAATCCTGAAAAAATCCCAATAAAACCTGCAAAAAATAGCACAAAAAATCCCAATAAAACCTGCAAAAAAATCCATTAAAAATACCCCAAAAAATCCCAATAAAACCTGCAAAAAACCCAAAAAAATTCCAATAAAACCTGCAAAAAATATCCCAAAAAATCCCAATAAAATCTGCAAAAAATCCCATTAAAAATACCCCAAAAAAACCCAATAAAACCTGAGAAATATCCCCAAAAAACCCAGTAAAATCTGCAAAAAACACCCCAAAAAATCCCAATAAAAGCTGAGAAATATCCCCAAAAATACCCAATAAAACCGGCAAAAAATCCCCCAAAAAATCCCCATAAAACTGGCAAAAAATACCCCAAAAATCCCAATAAAATCTGCAAAAAAATCCTATTAAAAATACCCCAAAAAAACCCAATAAAACCTGAGAAATATCCCCAAAAATCCCAATAAAAGCTGCAAAAAATATCCCAAAAAATCCCAATAAAACCTGCAAAAAAACCCCCAAAAATCCCAATAACACCTGCAAAATATACCCCAAAAATCCCAATAAAACCTGCAAAAAATACTCAAAAAATCCCAATAAAACCTGCAAAAAATCCTATTAAAAACCCCATTAAAACCTGCCATAAATACCACAAAAATCCCAATAAAACCTGCAAAAAATACCCCAAAAATCCCAATAAACCTGCAAAAAAACCACCTAAAAAACCCCAAAAAACGGCAAAAAATATCCCCAAAAATCCCAATAAAATCTGCGAAAAATCCTATTAAAAAACCCCATTAAAACCTGCCAAAAATACCACAAAAATCCCAATAAAAGCTGCAAAAAATCCCAATAAAAGCTGCAAAAAATCCCCCAAAAATCCCCATATGGGGGAAACGTGGGCGCCACCTCCTTCGAACGCTGCCTGAAGTGACCCCAAAATCGGCCCCGAGGAGGGAGAGAGACCCTGGAGAAACCCAAGAAAAGCGGAGAAATATCCCCCAAAATGGCCCAAGAAAAGCTGGGAAAAATCCTGGAAAAATGCGAATAAAAGCTGGGAAATATTCCCAAAAAATCCGAATTAAACTTGGGAAAAATCCTGAAAAAATCCTAATAAAACCTGCAAAATATTCCCAAAACATACCCAATGAAACATGCAGAAAATACGGCAAAAAATCCCAATAAAAGCTGAGAAATATCCCCAAAAATACCCAATAAAACCTGCAAAAATATCCCAAAAAATCCCAATAAAATCTGCAAAAAATCCCATTAAAAATACCCCAAAAAAACCCAATAAAACCTGAGAAATATCCCCAAAAAACCCAGTAAAATCTGCAAAAAACACCCCAAAAAATCCCAATAAAAGCTGAGAAATATCCCCAAAAATACCCAATAAAACCGGCAAAAAATCCCCCAAAAAATCCCCAATAACACCTGCAAAAAATACCCCAAAAATCCCAATAAAAGCTGCAGAAAATCCCAATAAAAGCTGCAGAAAATCCCCCAAAAATCCCCATCTGGGGGAAACGTGGGCGCCACCTCCTTCGAACGCTGCCTGAAGTGACCCCAAAAACGCCCCGAGGAGGGAGAGAGACCCTGGAGAAACCCAAGAAAAGCGGAGAAATATCCCCCAAAATGGCCCAAGAAAAGCTGGAAAAATCCTGGAAAAATGCGAATAAAAGCTGGGAAATATTCCCAAAAATACCCAGTGAAAGCTGTGAAAAATCCTATTAAAAATACCCATGGAGAACCCAATAAAAGCTGAGAAATATCCCCAAAAATCCCAATAAACCTGGAAAAAATACTCAAAAAAACCCCAATAAAACCTGGACAAAATACCCCAAAAATCCCAATAAAATCTGAGAAATATCCCCAAAAAATCCCAATAAAAGCTGAGAAATATCCCAAAAAATCCCAATAAAACCTGCAAAAAATATCCCAAAAAATCCCCCAAAAAACCGGGAAAAAATACCCAAAAAAATCCCAATAAAACTGCAAAAAAATACCCCAAAAAATCCCAATAAAATCTGAGAAATATCCCCAAAAATCCCAATAAAATCTGCAAAAAATCCTATTAAAAAACCCCAATAAAACCTGCCAAAAATACCCTCAAAAAATCCCAATAAAATCTGCAAAATATCCCAAAAAATCCCAATAAACCTGCGAAATATCCCACAAAAAACCCCAATAACACGTGCAAAATATACCCCAAAAATCCCAATAAAACCTGCAAAAAATACCCAATAAAACCTGAGAAATATCCCCAAAAAAATCCCAATCAAATCTGCAAAAAATCCTATTAAAAATACCCCAAAAAAACCCAATAAAACCTGAGAAATATCCCCCAAAAAACGCCAGTAAAACTTGCAAAAAACACCCCAAAAAATCCCAATAAAACCTACGAAAAATACCCCAAAAAATCCCAATAAAATCTGAGAAATATCCCCAAAAAATCCCAATAAAACCTGCAGAAAATATCCCAAAAAATCCCAATAAAATCTGAGAAATATCCCCAAAAAATCCCAATAACACCTGCAAAAATGCCCCAAAAAAATCCAATAAAACCTGCAAAAAATCCCATTAAAATACCCCAAAAAAATCCCAATAAAACCTACGAAAAATACGCCAAAAAATCCCAATAAAATCTGCAAAAAATCCCATTAAAAATACCCCCAAAAAACCCAATAAAACTGGAAAAAAATCCCCAAAAAATCCCAATAAAATCTGAGAAATATCCCCAAAAAATCCCAATAAAATCTGCAAAAAAAATCCCAAAAAATCCCAAAAAACCGGCAAAAAATACCCCAAAAAATCCCAATAAAACCTGCAAAATATCCCAAAAAATCCCAATAAAACCTGCGAAAAATCCTATTTAAAAACCCCTATAAAACCTGCCAAAAATACCACAAAAAATCCCAGTAAAACCTGCAAAAAATATCCCAAAAATCCCAATAAACCTGCAAAAAAACCACCTAAAAAACCCCAAAAACGGCAAAAAATATCCCCAAAAATCCCAATAAAACCCGCGAAAAATCCTATTAAAAAACCCCATTAAAACCTGCCAAAAATACCCCAAAAATCCCAATAAAAGCTGCAAAAAATACCCCAAAAATCCCAATAAAAGCTGCGAAAATACCCAGAAAAATCCCAATAAAACCTGAGAAAAATCCCATTAAAATATCCCAAAAATCCCAATAAAACCTGCGAAAATACCCATAAAAATCCCAATAAAATCAGAGAAAAATCCCAGAAAAATCGGCCCCGAGGAGGGAGAGAGACCCTGGAGAAACCCAAGAAAAGCGGAGAAATATCCCCCAAAATGGCCCAAGAAAAGCTGGGAAAAATCCTGGAAAAATGCGAATAAAAGCTGGGAAATATTCCCAAAAATACCCAGTGAAAGCTGTGAAAAATCCTGAAAAAATCCCAATAAAACCTGCAAAAATCGTATTAAAAATACCCAAAAAAACCCCAATAAAACCTGCAAAATATCCCACAAAAATCCCAATAAAACCTGAGAAATATCCCCAAAAAATCGCAATAAAACCTGCAAAAAATACCCCAAAAAATCCCAAAAAAATCTGCAAAAAATCCAATTAAAAATACCCCAAAAAAACCCAATAAAACCTGGGAAATATCCCCAAAAATCCCAATAAAACCGGCAAAAACTATCCCAAAAAATCCCCTAAAAAACGGCAAAAAATATCCCAAAAATCCCAATAAAACCTGCAAAAAATATCCCAAAAAATCCCAAAAAAACGTGCAAAAATACCCCAAAAATCCCAATAAAACCTGCAAAAAATATCCCAAAAAATCCCAAAAAAAACCTGCAAAAAATACCCCAAAAATCTCAATAAAATCTGCAAAAAATACCCAAAAAATCCCAAAAAAACCGGCAAAAAATACCCCAAAAATCCCAATAAAATCTGAGAAATATCCCAAAAAATCCCAATAAAATCTGCAAAAATATCCCAAAAAATCCCAAAAAAACCCGGCAAAAAATACCCAAAAAATCTCAATAAAATCAGAGAAAAATCCCCAGAAAAATCTGCCCTGAGGAGGGAGAGAGACCCTGGAGAAACCCAAGAAAAGCGGAGAAATATCCCCCAAAATGGCCCAAGAAAAGCTGGGAAAAATCCTGGAAAAAATGCGAATAAAAGCTGGGAAATATTCCCAAAAAATCTGAATAAAACTTGGGAAAAATCCTGAAAAAATCTTAATAAAAGCTGGGAAAAATCCCCAAAAAATCCCAATAAAATGTGCAAAAAATACCCAATAAAACCTGAG